CGAGGTGCTTGAAAACGAACGCTACGCTTCTTCCTCCTCGAGCTCCTTCCGTTCCAGGTTCCTGGACAAACTCCCCAACGAAATCGAGTTCACCCACTCGTTTACCGCTTTCAAGGAGGACACAAACCGCAAGGGCGTGAATTTGTACAATTCGCTGCAATTGGCCGTTCCCCGTCTTTTCAAGCGCCGTCCAGCTCAGCGTATCGCCCGGTTTCTCAATACTCTTGAAAACCAAACCGTGACCCACGAGGCCACCAAGCTTACCTTCAAGCCCACGGTCAGATTGACCACCTACCTCACCGAGGACCCAGCCAATTTTGTTCCTCGCGTGTGCTCCCCAGATGCCTCTGGTTCTGCAGTCAGAAAGCCCAAGACTTTCCCTATTCAGACACAGCAGCCATGGCACAAGGTGAACTTCGAATTTTACGAAAAACTCGCCGCCAAGACCTTCGATGCCATTGAAGGCGATACCCTGTCCTCTGCGGAAGAGTTGGCCCACAGACTAAAGACCCTTTACCGTGTGCTCCAGTCCCAGATGGTGCACCAGGTCAGAGCCAACTTTGTGTCTGGAGGACAGAAGATGCTGTCTTTCAACAGCCGTATTTCCAGGATTTCGGGCCACCTTCGTGCCCTTTTCATGGAATTGGACCTCATCAACGAGGACTACAAGGAGGGTGTTTGCAGCCACCTGATCCAGTCCAGACTCGGTGAAGTATTGGAAAAGCTTCGCCGGGCCAAGTCCGAGGTTATCTTTTTCAAAAAAGACCTCGATGCCGCTTTTCGTGAGGCCCCGCTGGTCCAGATGCTCACGGAAGCGAGAGAATGTGTGAGAATCAGCACCATGGTGACTCTTCGTCACTTTGACCTCACCGAAAACGTCAAGGACAGTGACGGCATTTTCTTTGCTGACTGCGGGCAGCACGCCTACAGAAGAACGCTCGCTGACGTTGAGCGGATTTTGCCCGTTGTCACTGACGTTTTGCTGACGGACCATTTGCATGTAACCATGAGGGCCACCTCCAGGGTGTTTCTGGTTGTGGACTCGTTGATCTACGATGCCGAGCGGTTGCAGACTTTCCTCTAGGGATTTGATGGCCGCCTTATCAATTAAAAGTATAAAAATATAAAAAAATAAAATTATGTTGTAGTGAAGATGGTATGTTGGTTCGTGGTATTGGGTTGAGAATCGCGAATGGAAGCAGATATGATGATACGCCAAAAAGCGCAAAATAAATTAGGGATTTCGAAGGGTGGAATAGGGAGGTTTCAGGATTGTTTAGTTGGAGGATGGGGAGTTTCGGACCTGGTGATGGTTCAAGATTGGACAAAGTAGGGAGTATTACGTTGGTTTCTTTGGCTGCAAAATCGAACTGCGAGATGCTTTGGTTCAGTGCTGGTCTACAAATCAGTCGAACCGATTAGAACTTCGGTTTTGGGCAATGTGAAAAAAGAAGCATAACCTCTTTTAGTTGTGGAATATCTGTAGGCAAAAACAGAAAAACTAGCGCAGCCAGGTTTCGATCCTGGGACATCAGGGTTATGAGCCCTGCGCGCTTCCACTGCGCCACTGCGCTTGACAGTAAAGAGACAATAGCCTGGGTTTAATAAGTGCCATAGAAGGAACGCTATATACAGGTCGATAAAAATGGCCAAAATCGAAGCAAACTTAATTTTCTATATATTTTTGAATTTTTGGTCTTTAGTGTATTTCTGAGTGATAGAGGATGGCGAAAATCACCCCAAATAGAGGTGCATTCGACGAAGTGAACCGTTGCTGAGTTGAACCAGATGAACCACAGGTATCTCACTACAAGAAAGCTGCTCTGAGCCTAATGAAGTGCCAAAATAAAGACCAACTACAAACCTCATAAACTTCAAACTTTATTAAATTGTTTTGGGTATACGAATCACAATGGTAGCGAAGGAAGAAGCGAATAGATTAGCGACATCTACGAGTCGATGTCTGGAGCAGAGTAGTTCTTGGTGGCATAGTCCCACAAGAAGGTGACCTGGTCAGGCACATCCTCAGCCTGACACTGGGAGGCATAGTCCTTGCCCTCGAGTCTGGTGTTCACGTAGTCCTCGTAGTCAGAAAGCTTACAAGAAAAGCCTGGACCGTCCTGGCAGTGCTTGACTGGAATGACAGCGTCGTTGACCAAGAACCTAATGTAAATGTCATCGCCACACTTCAACTTTTCAGTGTACAATCTGGCGCCCATGGGCACAATCAGGGTGTGGGCGTAAGGAATAGGGAAAGGAATGTGGTCATATGGCAAAGGCTCATCTGGAGCCAAAAGGCCAAGCGCAGAGTGGAAGTTCTCCATGTTGGTGTCGTGAGTAAAAGACAAGACGAACTTCTGTGGAGGGTTCTCCTCCTTCAAGTAGGCCAAAGTGGCGTTCAAGTATGGAGCACCGATGGTCTCGGTGAGCTTGTTGCCTGGACCGTTGTTGTAGTAGTAGGAGATGTCCAGACGGTAGGAGCTCTTGACAAGCTCGTCGTTGGTGAACAAGTTGCAGAAAGGCGAGTAGCCCCTGACGTTGATTTCGTAGGCACACCAGTCCACAAAGGTGTTCAAGTCGCCCTTGGACAACTTGAAGTTGTTGCCCTTGGTGATTCTCTCAATGGCAGCATTCCAGAAATCGGTGTTGAAGTTTCTGTAGCTGTGGTCGACGTCCTTTCTCCAGTCCTTGCAGGCGACATTTGGCGTCAAGGAGTTGGCACCGAACTTGCGTTCTTCAGCAATGACTGCAAACTTGGCGGTTTCGTCACCGTAGTCGTCACCAAAAAGACCTCTGGCGAAGTATCTGGCCGTGGCATGGCATCTGCCGGAATTGGACGTGAAAACGGTCAATGGCTCCAGAGACTTGTCGAAAAGATCGCTGTATCTGGCTCTGAAGTCGGCTCCATGGTTGTAGGCATCAGAGGTACCAGCATAGAGACCCTGGGAGTTCTGAGGCGAGGTCTCCTTCTCGTAGTAGTCCTTGTTGGTGACAAAGTACTCGTAGTCGTTGAGGAAAGCCAATTCACCAACAAACGTTTCACTGTGGTTCTTGATTCTTCCGTACAACTCCTCAAACAGCTGACCCTTGCCCTTCGATGGGAATCTCTCACCGTGTCTGGACAACAAGTGGACCTGTTCGACGGTACACTGGTCAGGAATAGAAGTGGAAATACCGTAGCCTGGGTGCTGAATGTATGGACCAGCACCACCCAAGTACTTGATCAAGTTGTACTGTTCAGTAGAGGCCTGGTTGGGAGTAGCGACATCCTGGAACACCAGCTGGGTGGTGAGGAGCAAGCCGTTGTTGATCAAAGGAGAGATTGCAACCATTTTCTGGCGATCAAAAACAAGAAAGTGCCGTCCATTTATATCTTATCTTGAAGCGCACGTGTGGCATGGTGCGTGATAAGGTACCCATGTGGTTGTCGGAAAAACAAGCAGATGTACCTACAGGACGGCTATTGTAAACAAGCACGGCACGTAGCCGAGGAGGCTTAAAAAGGTGTTGATCTGGGGATTTCCATGAGGCCAAGACAACTTCTATAGTTATCACTTATCAGAGTGCGTTGACAGCATGTACGAATGTGTCAAACAGATAAGACAGATTGAAGGTTGATCTGGCGAAGATGTTTCGGCGCCTGGTGCCTAATTAAACTATTGTTGATCACAATAGCCGAAATGCACAACACCGGATACTTTAGACTTTACGGCCATGTGGTGCATTGTATTGATGCAGTTGTATTAGTGCAGCATCAACACTGAGGTGCAGATGGACCCTGGAGGCTCAATTGAGGTTGTAGAATTCAGGGTGTTATACCAATCCTTTGCTTGTGATTTTTGCTTATCTTTTTGATCGTCCTTTTGATAGTTCTATTTTCGCCGTGGCTTGACGAGGCTCAGGTTTTGTGACGTACACGGTCAAGACCGGCCTCGCTTAAACCTAACAGAATCGAGCATTATCTACAAAGCCTGGATCACGCAAATCTCTGCACAGACCCGGGAAATCAATTTCCGAGCTTTTCGGGGATTTGATTGGAGGAGTCTATGTGGGAACCGTGTCGTGTGACCGTCATGGGCCTTTGGTGTTGATGTTTGGTGTGGGGTGGGAATGTCAAACCTGTTAGGTCAGTCATACAAATTGGCGAATTGGATAGAGTGCTTAGGTTACAGTGGAGAACCGTGTGGGGTGGTCTATGGAGAGGGTAATTCGATTGCCATGTTGATCTCGGGTTTGGCTGGTCGACAAGTGCATCTAGGATGGTCTCCACTAGGCTTGGTAGTACCGTGAATCAGTAGAAAAGCCATGTTACATGGAGATAAAGGGGTATACCAGATTGTAATTGTAACAGACTGTACATTCTAATCTTCTTTCTGGTCATTTTCTCTATCTACTGCCTGAAGTGTATTGGTATTCGCAGCCGGATAGGTTTACTATGGACCCCCAACTACCTGGTTTGAAACATCCAAAAACCCAGTGTTCTCAATGAAAGCTTCATGAGGTCTATTCGAGAGTAGAGTAGTAGCTGTCCAAAAGACATGACTTCAGAAGACCACTATGACCACTTCAACATGACTCTACTCTATGTCCCTCTGTTTGCTCACCATACTACAACCGACTTACCAATTAGACCGCATAACTGGACTGAAAAAACTAGGGAAAAACTTCAATCGATTCAAATTTGTTACACTTTCCCCAAATCACCTCTATTCCATAAACTTGGTCACCCGTCGCCTCTATTCACTGCACCACCTACTTCTTGTACCTCCTCTAATGGCTGCGAAAAAGGGCACTTTGAGAAACTCAGGCACAAATCCACACCCAGTTGGGAAATTGCAACTGAATCCAGAATATATTTTTCAGAAAGCCCACACAGCCTGCTATTGGAGTTTCCCTACCATGGACCCCGTGGCGGAGCCGTCAACGTTCAATGGAGTATTTGTACCATGGGAAACAGCCTCCAGTCAATTGCACCATCACCACCTAATCCAACATCCATAATGCCAGTTATCAATTCAAAAGAAAGCAAAAGACTGACCACCAATATGTTCATTCTTGGCCTCACTCAGCCAAGCGATTGCGTACTTCCAAGAAAGTACAGACACTTCAGTCAGCAGCAGCTTGATCTTTTCCGTGAACAGCCCAGTCTGGTTATTCCAGAGCAGCAGCCTCCTCATGTGGATAACGACCTGATTCCAGGTTTGAGCCTGGCGTTTTCTAGAAATTGTGCAAATGGTGATACCCATGGTCAAGTACGTCTTGTGTCAGATCGTCTGATTTCCAGCGAATTGTCCAGAAGCGACTACGACTCCTCAGATGATTCGTTTCACTCCTGTTCTTCAGAAACTCCTACCGAGCCACAAGAGCCACCACAGAGAGATGACGACGAGGAGCCACCTCGCAAGATCAGAAAGAAGCTCAACTACAGGGTCGCCATGAGCCTCTACAACATCAAGAGATTCCACGAAGAAGCCAAGAAGAAGTACTTGGCTTTTTTGGAAAGCAAGAGGGAGGAGGGTGTCAATGCGTCCGAGGATGTAAAGCCATCCGAGGAAGAAAATCAGCCTGAGGAGGAGCAGTGTGAAGAAACAGAAGAGGAGGAAGCCTCTGACGATCTCTCCTTAGGCCGCTTTCCTTCCAACAAGGCTTCTGAATATTTCGATAAGAGCTCTCCAGTTCAGCCTGTTGAGCTCCCTGATGACCTCTTTGAAGACGACTTGTTTGAGGGCAACTCCAATGGAGAAGTCAACGAGGACATTGAGGATTCTTCCGAGGACAGTTCCGAGGACAGCTCAGAGGAGGATTCAGAAACCGAAGAAGACCTTCCAGAACACATTGCAGCTATTCGTAGACACCAGCAGACATACGTGCACTCGAACTACGACCTTACTCGGTTGGACATCCTCGCAAAGAATGTCCAGAAACCAGAGGTGTTCAGAAGACTGCCTACGAAAACCCGTTTTTCGGATGACGAGTCAGACGAGGAAGTTGTCTTTTCTATTGACTTCGAAGAGGAAGCTCCAAGCGACGTTGTTTCTTGTCCAGGCAACTACTCCATCATTTCGCAGCCATTACTCAAAGCACGCCAGAAGATGTATGGGGTCAAGAAGCCCATTGTCTTTGAGGACCTCGAGCTCAAAATGCCACATTCACATGTGGAGCTTGAAATCGAGCGTCTTTTCATCGCCACCGATTTCGAACACGGATGCCACACAGACGAGGACTACTACATTGAGATCGACAGCTTGATCACCCGTTACTGTGCTCTCTACCGTGTGGCTGGACTGAGTATCAACGAGACTGTTGCTCGCTATTTTGTCCAAATCAACAACATCTACCATGGTATTCGGGTGGATATTGAAGAAAGCACCAAGCTTGTCAATGGTCTCATCAATGTGCTCGAGTGCAAGTATGCCGAGGACGAAAAATTCGTTGTCGATATCAAGCAGCTCGAAACCCTCGTGACCAAGTACCAGGAGCTCGAGCAAAAAGTCAAGACCCTTCGCCAAGTCGGAATCGTGGAGCGTTTTGTGGATAGACACAGCTTCTCACTCAATATCCAGCATCGACTCGAGCAGCTTTTCCAGGAGTTTTGCCGGGTCCACATGGAGCAGCTCGAAATCGAAGATGAGGAAGAAGCCTCTTTTCTTCTCCACAAGCATGTGTACGACGAGGCGTGCTTGTTGCAGGATAGCATGAAGGAGGAGGACTTTTTGGCTGCCTTCGAGGAGTACCGTCTTGAGTTGGAGCGGGCTTCGAGGTACTTTGGTGATCTTCTTCTTCTCTTTTTGGAGGCCTACGAATGGAAGAGTCAGCAGGTCAGGGAGCTGTCGCAGTAGCTAGCTTTTAACATGGTATATATTTTGAAGGTGTAGTTGGTAGGGGTAGGGTTGGAGTTGGAAATACGGTTTGATGTTGGGGAGCTAGGGGCGTTCATGGCGATGTAGAAAATGGTGGAGTTGATCGAAGAAGGATATGTGACGTACGCCGAATTAGAGTATAGAAAGCGGTAAGTCCACCTTTGGTAGGTTCAAGAAGTCGTGACATTGATCGACATGCCGTAACAAAAGGGAAGTAATTGCAATTTGCAGAGGAAGCTGTTCAATATCAATTGATAATTTGATCATTGTGGCATTTGTTCACTGTCGTATTTGGAGTTCATTCCATTGAATATTACCATATGTCATGGACAATGTATGTCATGTCACAAGGCCACTAGAACACCAAACGAGGCTATCCCAAGAATGAGAGGTTATTCATGTAGATAAAGTGGCTACAAGACAAAAGTTTATCAATTGAATTCAATACTGAGCTGCTTTCACCATTGATAACTTGACGACCGGTTGTTCCTCACCCACATAGCATCACCACCCACCCCCATCAAAACCACCAATCCCAGCCCACTACATAACGAATTTTTTATCGATTAATAAGCACAACCCTTTTCAAGCCCAAAACCGCCTCAATCCTTTTTATTCCCCAAATTCCCCAACTCACCACCCACCACCCCCACCACTATAAATACAGCCTGGTGCGACCATCTCCAAAACCACCACCACCTCTTCTTCTTCTTATGGCCAAACTCAAACTCATCACCGCCAAGATGGTCGCCGACTCCTTCGCCGCCGCCCCGGAATGTGCCTTCATTTTCAACATCCTCGCCCAACTGTGGAACAGCCTCTACTTCCTCTTTCAATTGGCTGCAAATCAGCAAAACAACTTGATGTACCTCTGGATCTTGTCCCACGCCGCCTGTGTCTCTGGATTTCTTCTTTCTTTCACTTACCCTGGCGCTTACGACGCTGCCGTCGCTGGCTGTTTGGCTACATACGCTTTGGCAGTGCACCGTCAGTTGAAGTTCATTTTGAGGGACGACAGAAACGTCAAAAACAGAGCACCCATTTCGGACTTGCTCCGGGGAGAAAACACCGTTCTTTTTGCCACGGCGCTCTTGATGGCAAACTCATCAGCTTCTTCAGTGAAACTTGTTCCTTTCGCCACTTACGCCTCCATGAACTTGGTGTCGTTTCTTCTTGATCTGTTCCCCAATACAGCCTTCACCAAAACGTCCATGCCCTTCTTGCGCTACGTCGAAACGTCCTTGTTGAACTACATGTGTTACTGGGATTACGCCGTGATGGCGGTGTATGCGTTGGAATGGTACCAGCACGGAACGGGCTGCTGGTTGTGGTTCTATATGGTCACCTGGCTTGTCAAGTTGGAGATTTCCGAACTCAGCAGGAAATCCTTGCACGGTCTTGCAGATTTGCTTGTTTCCGGGGCAAACGCTCTGAAACTCGATTTTCTTGTCTCCACGGCCACGGAAACTCAGGCAGCCTTGTCGGTGTTGGTTCCTACCAAGGAGAACCTGCCGGGATACATTCCATCCCTGGCTCTCTCGAGGGACCGAGCCGACTCCATGATGTTTGACACCTTCTCGATCATCAACGACGTCGATAGGTAGTCGCATGGCCCTCCTGACCCCTAGTCCCCAATTGTTAGTTTGTTTTCATCATTGTAGATCAGTTCTTGAGCTCGTCTCTCATGGCGATAAGAGACTCCCAGCCTTCAGAACCCTCCCACATGTTTTTGCCCTTGGACATGAGCGAACGAACGGCGGTTCTGGCCTTGTATTTCCAGTCCTTGCAAACAACATCTCCAGCACCGTGCTTGCCTGGCATTCCACCGAGAGACTCGTAAGCAGAAACCAAATCGGAACAGGCCTCCACGGCGTCTGTCCAGACCTTCCCGTCGGTCTCGAGCTCTGGTCTCTGAGAAGTTGCTCTGAAACCCTTTTCATGGCACTCAAGAGCAGCCCATGGTCTCTTTCTCCAGAGCTCCACTTTGCTGACGATTCTCCAGCACCTGGCCAGGTGGTTGATGACGCCAGGCAAGATGTTGCACACGAGGTCGATGCACGATTTCTGGAAATGGGTCATTCTGGTGTCCTCGTCAGGATAAGGCTCCTCCATGAGAATTTGCACAAGCGTTTCAATGACAGGCAAGTCCACGACGGTCTCACCGCCAGACTCCTTTCTGATTTTGATGAGCTCCCTGGTGGCATGGAGAACGTCGTTCCACTCTCCCAATTTAGCAGCCACCGTGAGGTAGTTTTCGTAGATTCTCCAGGACCTGTTTGCACCTTCGCCTTGTTGCAAAGCTTTTTTCAAAGCACTGAAAGCCTGCTTGGTCTTGTCGAGTCTCAAAAGGGCACTGGCCAAGTTGGACCAGGCATGCGAGTTGGTGTCGTCAAGAGAAACACATCTGGTGAATGCTTCAGCGGCCAACTCGAACAGATTGGTTTCAAGACCCATGCAGCCGTAGAAGAACCAGTTTTCGTAGGAAAGAGGGCTCACAGAGAGACACTGGTGCATGCTTTCAATGGCATTGGTGTAGTCCTTCTTTGCGTAGTAATGACGGGAAAGCGATGCCTTGGCCTTGGGGTATCTGCCTACTTCCCAGGCTTTCTCCCAGTACGAAGGGTCCTGCTTGATGTCACCGAGAATACTAATGGCTCTGGCATCTTCAGGGTGGGCATTTACACGATCCACCAAAAGCTGTTCAGCAAGGTTTTCCTCTTCAACGGCAGCATAGCAAAGCGCCGCCTCCACAACCATCCCGAGTCTCTCGTAAATAGCAATAGCCAGCTTCAACACACCCAACGACATGTACTTTTCGGCGAGTTTGGCATCTAGACTCCACTGAGCCATCAACGGCATCTGGTGGACGAATCTGAGTCTGGAAGCCACGGAGGTCTGGTTGTCTTCAGCCTGAGGCAACACACGAGATTTGATTTTGATGCCGATTTCCTCGACCAACGAGGTCATTTGAAGAATACCTCTCTCGACAGTTCTGGCCTTGCCGGTTTCAAGCACCGATCTTTCCCAGAGGGCCCTACCGAAAACGAGCCAGTTGATATTTGCAGATGAGGAGTAGACGATTCTGTTGACCACAGCGGAGAGTTCTTCGTCGACCAAGGTGTTACCCAGTGGGGAGGTTTGTCTCAAGGTGGTGAGTCTGAGCAAAAGCTGGACGTTGTCTAGATCACTCAATGGCGGCTGGTTATTTGGATCGAGCTCCTTGAGCAGTTCAGGCACCTCAGAGGAAAGTGCCACTGGGAACAAACGGTCATCTTCAGAATCCTCAGAACCACCTTCGAAATCGATCTTGATCTTCTTGGACGCCTGTTCGTCCTTCATGTCCACATCAGCCAAACTCTCGTATTCTGGCTTTTCCAAGAGCAAATCGGAATTGAGCTCAAACGCCTCTGGAGCCTCGTTCCTCAGTTCTCCGTAGACCAGGTTTTCAGCAGACTTTGCCAAAAGAATCAACAGAGCAGTGTGGAATGTCTGAAACTTCGTTCTTTTCGCCTTGGCACCGGTCAATGCAAATTGCAACTGAGACACCTCGGCCGCCTTCTTCAACATAGGTTCAGCCAAGTGCTCTGTCTGAGCATGGATGCCATTTCTGGCATTTTCTAGTAGGAAAATCAACTGCACGAATTTTTGAAGTTCAACGTCAGCGGCGCCGCTGGGCACTAGCCAATTGACAATGGGCTGTTGAAGGAGAATTGAGCTGATCGACGCTAGCGTGTCTGAAGGCTCAGACAACACAGAAAGGTGAACTTGTAAAGCACGAGCTCTCCACCATGCAAGAGAAGCCGTCATGGGCGAATTGCCTAGGCTTTTCACGGCAGCGGCGGTATTTTCGGAAACTTTCTCCAAATCCAAGGCATTGCCCTCGGCAAGACTCTCCACGTTCATGAGTTTCTCGAAAATCACCAATGCTAGAAGAAGAAGCACAGGCTCGTTCATGAGGTCATACGCCAGTTTACCTTCGATGCTGAGCAAACGGACGCTTTCCTTCTGGAGCAAGGTTTCGTCAACTTCATTGAAAATCACCTCTTTTGCGGTAAAGCCAATTTCAGGTCCCGTGAAGTTCGCCTGGATGTATGTTTGAAGAAGACCTATAGCGAGAAGCTGGAGGTTCAACGCCGACTCAGGGTCCTTTTGTGTGGAGATTATGTAATCAACATAGGCGAATAAAGCAGACTTGAGATCGCCAGATTCGTTGATTTCAACCTTTTTCAGTTGGCTTATCTGTTGGAGTTGTTCATGGACCCATGCTGCAGATCTGCCTCCCACGATTTCTTTTATGACACGTGACACAGACAGTAGATTAGAATCACCGGTTTCTGGCAATTTCTCTTCTGGAACTAATAATAAAAGCCCCAGTAGGAGCACATTCAACTCGTCCATGGCTACTGGTAGTTCTACTATAGGTCGCGATGATCTGCGAAAAACACCATACTCAGAGCACTGCATACCGTGGGTATGCCTTTTCTATTAGATTCTAGTACATCAGTACCGCTGCAACGATATCAGTCGCCAAAGAATGACCGCCGCTTGTGTTCGCTGTGCGTGCTATCGCTGCGGCGATGTTCACTCAGCTTACGAGACTTCCGAAGCGAGTTGCGGATCGACAACCTGCTCATCTCCAGCTGCTGGTTCTCGTCGTCAGAAGCAAAGTCAATCACCTCTTCTCTAACGGCGAAAGGCTGGCCGGGGTTCTGCGACAAGCTCTTCTTCATCTTAGGCTTTCTCTTCTCCTCTTTGTTGTCCAAGTCCACGAGGACCTCCTCGACCTGCTTGCGTGCTGGGTGGGGCGGAAGTGGTGGGGCATCCTCTGAACTTTCACCCGACGAAAGACCAACTTCAAGTTCAATGAGGTCACGATCAAGTTCAATCGAGGGACCTCTGCTGCCCGTTTGTGGCTGTGGTGGTTGCTGCGGTTGCTTCTGCTGTGGTATTGGTTGTGCTGGCGGAGGCAAGGGATCATTCAATGACAATTGACCGATGTTCATATCCTCCATTGTGGGAGCCACCGCTGCTGGCATGGGGCTTCTTCCTTGCTTCAATGATTCGCCCCAAGGGTTAGCGCCCTTGCGGCCATCTTGTAATGGCACAGTACCCATACTGTAAGAATGCGAGTGATTAGGCTTCTGGGCCAACGTGGCTGACAGGTCCATGGAAAGTGATCCTTGCAAATGCGAAGGCCGCTGCAAACCATTGGAAATATTGTCGTATTGAGCTCTTGGCTCTGGCGCTGGCGCTGGCGCTTGTGTTGCAGGTTCGGCACCCTTAGCGTTGCCCTTCTGAACATTAAGCTCGCTCTTCACTTGTGCAGCTGGCTGCTCGTAGAAGTAGTCCTTCGAGCCTTCATCCGTCTTTGGCGGAGGAATTGGCTCTTTGGATGATGTAGATGGAACGGAAGTGCCAGCAGTATCGCTTGGTCCGGTTTTAGAAGCAAAGATATCATCCACTAGCTTTTCGGCATCCTTGTCAATCGCTTGTGATGGCTTCTCCCAAGCATGTGTGGATTCAAACTCGGTAGGTCTCTTCAAGTCAGGGTCTTGCAGATGCTTACGACTGCCTGGTGCACTAGGGCCCAGCCCAGTTTTCACGCTAAAGTCCAGAGACTTTCTGTGCGTTGAAGCAGACGCTGAATTCACAACATCATCGTTGAGAGCATCCAAGGATGGGTACCGCTCCTCGGCATTGGCCAACTTGGATATCTCTTCCAAGTCTTGCTCCAAATCGGCAGATCCATCGGCATCCCCGTCAGCATCCCCCTCTGATTGCTGATCAACAGGGTAAGGAGTTTCCTTCAGGATTGGGAATGGATTATTGGACGAGTTGTATTGGTGGTTTAATTGGGCAAGGTTTGCCTGAGAGTCGTTCTTGATTGAAGATACCTGGTGCAACTTGCTCTTTTGTGAAGCAGGAGACGAAGCGGCAACAAGTGGAGAGCCCTGAGGAAGAACATGACCCTGCTTGGGGATCTGTGATGCAAGGTAGGGCAGTTGGGTTGCAGCATCGTGGGTAACTGGGACTGCGGACGCCTGAGCGTGTTGCTGAGATGCAAGGGATGCGGATGATCCATGTGCTTTGATGCTAGGGCTAGGAATATTCAGCACACTTGGCAGCAAGTTGTCGATGGATGGTTGCTGAGACAGGGAGCGCTGGGACGAGGATCTCTTGGGCTTTTGCAGCTCCTGTTGAGCCTTGATCTTGCGCATTTCGTACTCTTGCTGTTTCTGCTGCTGTTCGAAATAGAGCTGTTGCTGTTTGCGGAGCTCCTCCTGTTTCTGCTGTTGCATCTCGTGCAAGGCTTGGAAGTTGTAAGGTCCCGCGTGGTAAAAGTCTTCCACGTCATACTCCTCAAGCTTCTGCCCCGTCATCTGGCAAAGGAGCATTAAGATCTGCACCACATTAGGTCTGTAGAGCGGATTCTCTTGGAGCATGATGATGATAAGGTTCTTCAAGTCGCCCGAGAATTCCGGCTGGGGCAAGAACTGAAATGATGCATGGAGGATGGCAATGTCACCCTGGGCCTCGAAGGGCGTCGTGTAGTAACAAAGCTTGTAAAGAAAACAACCCAAAGCCCAAATGTCCGATTTCTCGTCAATTGGCTGGGCACGGTACAAGTCGACCATTTCGGGCGCCCGGTACTGCGGAGTTGTTTGGTAAAGGATGTCGTGGCTCAATAGCTGGAACTCACGCTGGTCTTTTGGAGGCCGGATCGGAACCGACACGGAGCCAAAGTCACAAAGCTTGAAAACGTTCTTGGCGTCTATCAAGACGTTCTCAATCTTGACGTCCCTATGTATGAGTTTGATCTTGTGCATCTCGTAAAGTCCCAAGGTGATATCCACCATGATCTTGAGGATCTCCTTCTCGGTCAACTTTGTACGGATGCGGGCGTTCATATACTCCAACAACGACTTGTTAGGACACAACTCCATCAACACAAGCACCTGGTATTGCCCGTCAGCCAATCTCTCGGCATTGGAATCGTAGTAGCGCACAATGTGTTTGGCCAGGCTCAACGTCTTCATGACATCCACCTCCTTACGTAACGCATTGAGTCCGCTCTTATCCGGAATTATGACCTGCTTGAGGCAGCCCACCTCCGTGCCGTCGTGAGGAGGATCCATGGTGACTTCGTAGATCTTGGAGAACCCGCCCTCAGATAAGAAACGCACCACGTTGACCTTGTGGCTTCCCACATTGAGGGAGGTGCCTTCGGCGATGTTGGACATTGCTGGAAAGGGAAGGCACTGGCGACAATGTCTGGCTAGGAATTGTGGCTTCGGTGCCTAGATAAGATTGAATAGCAGGCGATATCATGTATCGCACTGGGCTGTGATTCTGGCGCGCGCACGACCAGGGTGTTGGGTAGACGAGACGGAAACGAGACTCGAATGCAAGGAAAGAAAGCGGATAATGTGGGGTTTATAGTTTAGGGAGCGTGAATTGATATCTTTTTGGTTTTGTGATATCGGCAGCGGTTGACTTCGTGCGTTTGTCCCAATCAAGCTATGCGCATCCGTTTGCAGCCAATCTGGGAGCAGGTGCCTATTGTTTCCTCGTACTTCTGAAAATGGCTTTCCACCGATTTCTGCCAGATCCTTTTTCCAGACACTTGTCAAGGATCGGGTTTTAAGCGGGTTGCAGCGGACTTGTCACGCGCCTGCTACGCCTCGGTTTCCTGCGGGTTTGCAGCCATTTTAGAGTTTGCAGCCACTGCGGATTTAGCCACAAAGCTACTTTTTGAAATGGTCCTTCAAGATCAAGGCGATCTCGTCGTAGGCGTATGGAATGAACACGATTTCCTTTCCGGACGCGTTTTTGGTGAGCGAACACATCTTGTGCTCGACGTATTCGCCTAGGATGCTTCGGAAGTTCATCTCGTTGGAGGTGACGTATTCCTTGAGACACTGGTCGTAGAGTGCCTTGAACTCAACCCCAAGTTTGATGGAGCCACGAAGACCAGTTCTTCCTGATTTTGAAGCTGTAGATTCTTCTAGCACCTTCACTTGCATCTGCAGCAAGACCCTGTAGAGATTCTGCGCATTGGAGCTTAACGACGTCAAGACGTATTTGGCACCCTTGCTTCCCACAAAACGCTTGGAGCGACCCATGCTGAGAACGTCCTTGAAGGAGAGTTCCACTCCATAAGGCTTGTATGTGGTGGCATCGTGCCAGAGGAAATTGAAGTTTTTGAAACGGTAGAGGTCCCACAAAAGACTGGCATTGACATTGTCCACGGACGTAAGAAGCCAAACATCTGGAAGCGCCGCCAATTGAGATAAGATGTTCTGGGACCGCTCGTCTCTGAATGCCTCACCGTCGATATTATGAACAACAAGGATGAGCTTGGGTTTGACGAGACCAAACTCCGAGTGGTGGGTGACGTGCTTCTTCATGTACGACACTAAGAATGGGAATGCTTCACCGATGTGTTTCGGCATTTTGATATTTTTCTCTTTTCTGATTTCTGGCGTCACGATTGCCAGTGCAATATCGTGGATCACCAGCTTGAGCTTTGTAGCTGGGTTGTAGCCGTTCACTACCATCACCACTGGATACTCGTCATCTTCAAGCAACGTCTGCTCGTACCAGTCGAGCAAGTAGTCGTTGACGAAATCGAGAATTAAGTTGGCCTTTGAGCCGATGCCGTAGAAATTGAGATTGTATCCCTGGCTCAACTCGAAGCACCATTGGTGGTGTAACTTTTTGTGGAGCTCATTGAGAGCGTTTCTCTCGTTCTGGTGAACAAGACTGCCTAGTCTGACCATAGGCAAGAACTCGTCATAGTCGAGCTCGGGAGCTTTGGAGCTCAATGCACTGGAAGAGGGTCTGAAACGAAGATTGTGCTGTTCAAAGTAGCCTTCACTTCCTTCCAAGAAGTAGGCTCTTTCGTCAGTGAGTCGTCCAGAAAAATTAGTCTGAATTTGGGAGTCTGGGAAGTATTTTTTCACGTAGTCCTGGTCCTTGACGTTACCCTCCAGGTCCACTTCAGGTACCGGGAGGGGCTCAAAATGCTGGATTGGCGTGGCCTCAACTTGCTCCTTCTTCGGCTTATCGAGACCACTGATCAGAGGAATATAGGAGAACGTGCTGTCGCCCGTATTATCAAAATTGAGTGCAATAGACAGCTCGGCTTTCGAAGGAGATGACTCCTTGCTGGCCGTTTCCTGTTTATCCTGGAAAAACTCCATGTCGTCCATGTGGAAGATACTGTGCACTTTGCCGGTGACCTTCTCCTGTTTACTGGGTCTGCCCTTCTTGGTTCTTCTCTCGATGGGCGTTTTTCTCACCTTCACAGGAGTCGGCAGCTCCGTCGGCGGAGTCTTCTTGGGCTTTCGTGGAGTGGTGACTTTCTTGGGTGATTTCTTTGGCGATTTTTGGGGCTTTTCTTCCTCTGACTCGGAGAATTCCTCGTCCTCTTCTTCCTCCTCCTCTTCGCTCTCATCCAGACTAGCTTCCTTCTTCGGACGTCTTCGCCTTTGCTCCCTCAATTCAGCTTGTCGTTTCTTCTCTTCTTCCTTTTCAATGGCTCGTTTCTCAACCACGGCTCTTCTTTCTCGGCGCCTGGGAGTCAACTCCACAGGCTGGGGCTTTTTGACTTCTTCGCCTTTTCTGGGTCTTCCCCTCTTTCTCTTTGGCGGTGTAGGAGGTGCCAGTTCTTTCGAATCCTCTATGATCTTCTGTGCTAGGTTGAGCTCTTGTTCTCGAAGCACACTGTCAATTTCATCGTGATCTTCGTCCATGAGCCTTGAATAAGTAGTATGTGCCTTTTTTCGAGCAGAATTATCTAGATCTTCTGTACTTCGTTTAGAAGGCAGCCTTATTCCTATCGGACGCGTGGGTGTTTTGGCTGGTGATTCAAGACCCTCCTCTGATTTGATTTGAATGTCATTGTTGGAGCCATTATTTGTACTATTCAGGCTATCTTGAGCCTCCAGGGGATGGCGCAAGTCTGGAATATCGGCCATTGATGAAGTATGGGGAAGTCTTCTTGGTTATCGAAAAGCGGTAGATCTTAGACAGTAATGTATGAGTCACGTGACCATTTTCAGGAACCTCTATTTACCGCCCACCAAAGCGTTATATTTCAATATTATATAGCTTCATGGGCACTTTAAATTGTAATGCATTAAATTCCACAACTTTCACAATCATATACAACGTGGCGGCGCAGAGGTGGGACCTACAAGTTGCAAAATTGATCCTGTGCACGTGATCAAACTGTCTCATCGCTGCACATCGAATTTCCAACTCCTCCATCAACCTCGAGATCCAGAATGCTTTCGTTCTGCCCGTACTGCTCAAACATGCTTTTGATGTCGCATGGTGAGGATGGCATGAACAAGCTCCAGTGCAACACGTGTCCCTACGAGTTCCGAATTCTGGGATTCCAGATGTTCGAGCGTAAGGTGCTACCCAGAAAGGAAGTTGACGATGTTTTGGGAGGTGATGGTGCCTGGGACAATGTTGATCAGACAACTGCTCAGTGTCCAGTGGACTCTTGTGGTAACGACAAGGCATACTTCTTCCAGTTGCAGATCAGATCGGCCGATGAGCCAATGACGACTTTCCTCAAGTGTACCAAGTGTTCCCACCAGTGGAGAGAAAATTAGCATTTGTTATCTTGGTTTTTCATTTTATTGCATCACCCTTTGGTGGACTGGAGGCACATGGAAGCCCAGCCCATTGGGTCCTCGAGAAGCTTTCGAGAAAAATGGTCGATTTGGATCTGGTCGGGCTCCTTTTCGGAGCGAAAGAGAATACTCGACTGAGAACAGGACAGAGAAAGCGGGTCGATCTTTTTTGGTTTGAGCGACTCCTCATATGTGTTGAAGGAGGATCTGACAAAGGACCGTTGGAGGCCTTTGTTGAGAGGCTGGGAAGACTGTGTTTCTTGAACAATACTTCCAACAGAAGCCTTCTCTGCGCTGCTGCTTGAACGAGCCCGCTTCATATGGAAAATATCCGACAGGCTCGAGCAACTATCTGTATCATAATCACTAGAGCCTCCCAACGTGGAGTCGAATTTGCGCATGTACTTTGGAGATTCGTAGTCTCGCTTGTAGCCTGGGAGGTTGTGCTTCTTGTAGTACTTTTCCTGCTGCTCCTCAATGAATTTTCTGTAGGAAATGTCACGACGGCCTTCAGTGATCTTTTGAAGTCTGAAGTCCTTTTTGCGTTTGTTGACAAAGTCCTGTTCTTCAGCAGAGCGCTTCTCTTTGAAAGCAGAGGCCTGAACGACTTTCCGGATATTTATGAGAGCCACTTTTTCGTCCTTTACTTTTTCCACAAACTTCTCTTCCTCCTTGCATTCGTCGGCGTTCCAACGATCAACAGTGGACACAGGGCGGTTGGCGATCTCGGGTAGGAGGTCTCCATATAGAAGTTTCTGCTCCTCGTCAAATGCAAATGTCTCTCCCTGGCAGATATCACCAAAGAGGCGTTTCATGCTGAAACCGTTCACCCACAGGCCTTGGTCCTCTGTAGGGAACACTTGTCTTGGACGAAACATGGACACCAAACGGGCTGTTTCAGAATAGGATGAGTGTCTTGCAAAGACAAGTTTTATGTCAGCCGGTAAAAGCTCTGTGCCGTTTTTTGGTAACACCCACTGTCGATCACGTAGCTCGTAGATCCTAGTACCAGCCTTGGTCTCTCTGAGCATCTTCAAATTGGCCTTTTCAGCCACACGAAGGGAATCGAGCCGTAGAGGGAAACATGCCCCTGTCATGTCCATGATATTGAAATTGACGAATTGTTTGATTCTCACGACGAAACGGTCGCTCGGTATATCTGAGCATCCCTTGGGACAAACATGAAAAATGCCATTCTTGAAATTGGCCAGTCTGTAGCGCTCAAATGCTGCTGCTAAGCTTGGTCCGTTTACAGAATCATTTTTTGAGACAACTTCGACCTGTTTTCGTAGTGTGGGATCGCTGATGTGAAGAGCACTCCTAAAGTAACTGGTGATGAAAGCCCAAGCATGGTCGAACCCTAGGGTGGTATCTTGAAAACAATATGCAATCTCTGGATCCTTTGGGAACTCCTCAAGAAGACGAATGGCAGCGTGGATTCCAGCATTATTGGGAGGGATCTCGATATACGGTTCCCTGCGATACGAGAAGGTCATATCCGCATAAATGTTATCCAAAACCTTCATGCCGTTTATATACGGAAATAGCAGCGGATACGTATTCAAAGACAGTATCCACCAGTCCTCTGCTCGGAGGTCTCCCGTACAAAGCACATTTGACGTTTCTGACTCTATCAAGAACATGGATGCACCTAGACAGTGATGAGCTGGAAGCAATGTCACAGTTACCAAGCAAGTGTCGTTTTCAGATCCTTCAGAAGATCCTAGTGGCCGTAGTTCCACTTCAAACGGTTCATGGTACCTTTTTGTCTCCAAAAGCGGAAGGATCCTCTGGTAGTCCTTCTTCAACGAGAGTAGTTTCTTTGTTTCCACCGAACAAAACACCTGGCCTCCGAAGGACTTCAGTATGAGCCCGACAAGATGGTCTGAGTGGCAATGAGTTAGGAGAAACGCCGAACAGCCAGTGTTGAAGCGATCCACCCCTAGTAAAGGGAACTCCCTGATCCGTCCATCGAAGGGCATTTTTGGGATATTTTGGATTTTGAGGACGCGTTGGGGCAAACACGTCTAGGTCTTGCCAAATCGGATCAATGGAAACACGTCGAAACGCGTTGTTGGTTGGTGTCTCGGGAAGCGTGTAGGGTGTAACTGAGAAGCAAGTGGTGATGGCTGCGAAATGGTGTAGTGGTTGATGTAGGAAGGTTGCAAAAGCCATGGAATCACAAGGTATTTCAAAATAAAATTTAAAGCAATTCAAATTGAAGAATCTAAATTAAGTAGCATTCTAATTTTGTAAGTTTCAAAACACCGCCGTACTTTGTGCTTACATTGTCAAGCCAAATTGCATGGTTTACTGGTTGCAAAAGGTTCTAAGACACTAAACTCCTTAATTTTTTTTTTTTGAAAAAACACCTTGAAACCAAAAGCTTTCAAAGCTTTGAATAGGCGACAATTATTACGAATTTCAGGAAACCACTTATCCTGTAAGCCCATACCAATCCCGGAATACGCTACATACATTGACTCATCCCTGGCCCTCTCCCAATTACATTTCTATCAAACATCCCATCACAACTCTATCTCCCTCTCGGCATTATATGTCTTCTTGGGAGCCTTGCGGGGCTCCTCCGATACCGTCTTCCGCTTCCTCTTACCCTCACTGGCATCCTTCTCGGCCAATTGCTTCATTACCTTCACAACCACAGCACCGATTTTACCCTGTTCGGCGCCGGAACCGCCAAGTGGCTTTGGGGCGCCCCAGCAGAAACGCACAGGATACTTCTTTTCGAGAATCACAAGAGCTGCCGTCTTGCTGGACTTGCTGATTTTCACGCTCTCGAGCTTTTTGGCAAACTTGTCAGCGTCACTTTTAGACTCAAAGGTGACAAAACCACAGCGGGCCCGGTGGGCTATCTTTGTCGAGACCGGGCCAGCCATCTTCTCACAATAGTCCTTCACCACGTACTGGGGCATCTGCGGGTCAAACCCGAAAACAAAGAAGCTTTTTAGTTCTTCATCTGAGGAGGTAAGCGTCGCTCCAAACGGTAGTTTTGCCACGATCTGCGTGAGGTCTTTCGATGAAGCTGATTCTTGTTCTTGGGTAGCCACAACAGCCGGTTTCTGCTTCCCTAGCTTTTCAGCCAACGTAGCCAATATCTCCTTTGCTTTCTCCCTTTGTCCCTCGTTTTTGAATCCCTGTAGTTCCTGCTTATCGGCCATAATCGCCTTGACTTCTCTGTTCTTGCTCTGCTCCGCTAGATAAGGGTTCTCGATTCCAGCCATCTTCAACGCAGCATCCCTGAATTCCATGGGGATCTTGAAGTAAACATCCACAAGACAACTCTGGCAGCAGTTTCGTATCTTCAGACAAGTTCCACAAACAATCGTTTTCTTCATCTTCTGGCCTCTAGGTCCAGGCCATCTGTAAACAGTGAATGGTCTCGTGCAAAGCTTGCACTCTTCGCCACCGGGCTGGCGGATCATTTTTATGTTCCGTTCATCCGGAACTAGGCAGTCCAGGCATAGTTGTGGGAATTCGGACATGGGGTTTTGGTGGTAGGTGAGATGCGATGAGTGTTGATGTTCGCGATAAGAGATGCAGATGAGGTTTACGAAAGTGCAGTAAAGGTGCAAATTGGGGATTAAGTGGGAGAATATTATAAAGAGAAAAAAAAAAAATCAACAAGTATGCTGAATTTGCCCAGAGATTGAATGATTTGCTTCAAATTTTGTTGGAAATAATATGCTGTTGATGGGCTATTGATGGGTGGCTGCAAATCAGTGGTAGCAGTAGTCGATGCTTTTAAGCGCTTCTAATAGTCTCTCTTTATCTGCCTCGGAGACCAAATTCATTAATTTGTGCAAACTGACATCAAACAGGTAATCGTACTCCCAGGATTTGAGGAGCGGTGATTTTTGAATGATCTGCATCACTTTATCGACATCCTCACTGACGTCCATCTTGGTTCTTCTTGAGAGCTCTGAATGCACCATCGCCTCATTCATATAAAGATCGTCTCTATCGAGATCCAATTGGTTCTTTTTGGTGAATTCTTCAAATCCTGTTCTGTACAGCGTGAGGGAGTTTCTCAATATGGATCCTTCTCTTCCCCCAAAATCGCCATAGGCCTCAAGGGCCTTCCTGAAGGTATAAGTCGTACTCCAATCACTCGATAAATTAAAGGAACGGCTCAAAACGTCCGCCGCCCTCCGACGAGCGGGTCTGCATTCGGACTTGCATGAAATAAGCAAAAGAACAATCACATCTTCGATGTAGTCACCATCGAGCTCTTCTTTCGGTCTCATGAGTCTCTCCAACACTTCAACACAGAGGAGATTCGTCTCGTCAGTTTCATACGAGTGTAAATACCTAGCAAGTTGCCAAATATCTGGCACACTCTGAGCAGCAAGGTCAAGGACTTGAAGTTCTTGTGACCACTTTGTATCGGGCGTTTTGATCCGTTGGTTGGATCCTGCTGCCACCAAAAGTTCAATAACCTTCACACGTGTGTAGCTCCAAGTCAGTGGCGCTTGTGCTAATTGCTCCAATGTTTCTTTAAGTCTGTGAGACAATTTTTCATGCTTTTGGCAACACTCAATCACCAGTTCTTGAATCACATATGCATCGCTTTCAAGTGCAAGAAGAAGAAGGTCTTCTGCCACCTCGGCTTTATCGTTCTTGAGGTGATAATGGTGCAAGATTTTGACAACCTTTGCTAAAGTCGACTGTTTTGCCCGATTCGGCTTCTTGCTTTCTTCAATAAGCTTTTGCACAAAGAGATCTCCAAGAGGTTCAACTAACGACAGTGGAGGATCCTCTGGCAACATGTCAAGCCAAACTGAGAAGACCTGCCAGTTGTTGAGCTTCAGAACAAAATGGAAAACGTCTCTCATGTCCTCGTCATTTATGCGTACTTCTCGAGACAATTTCGACACTAGCAAGAGAAACCCATGGATCTTGTTCATCGACATCGACGAGAAGACTCCTGTGATGCAGTGTTCAACAGCCTTTTCCTTGTTCGTCGTCAATGCCATTTTGTACAACACTCTGGCAGTCATTTCTCGTATTTTCCACCTCTGGTGACTCAAGTACCTGTCCTGAAGCAATGTGTAAAAGCTGTTGAAGAGACTCTCGTCAGTACCACTCCATTCAAGTCTCTCTAAAATGGTCAAGATGGAGAGAATGCTCTCCACTGAGCCTCCTTCATTTTCTCCGAATTTCGATAAGCGGGAGTAGAATTTGTCTTCAAGGTCTCGGTACATGCTGAAAAACACAGATGTCTTCATGCCAGAAAGCAGATTGTCGACCATGTTGGTGCCAAAAATCCTGTTTTGAAGTGATGTAAAAAGCATCAAAGCTGCGTTTTTGATGGACCATTCTGGTGAGTCGATACTTTCCAATGCAAGACTGAGCGCTTCGTTTAAGTACCTCTTCGCTGATGGAAACAAGGCCGATTCAAGGAAGAGATGTTTGATGCAATTGAAGGCGTGAACCTGAGGGAATCCTGCTTTGGCACGGTCTTCTTCCCTGAGTGGAATTTTGGTATATTCGATGAGCATCTTCATGGTAGAATCAATTATCTCATCTACACCAGTTTTCTTGTGGGCAATGATAGCTCCGGTAATTAAAAAGGGAAGTCCACCTGATCTTCTCGAAACGAACTGAGTTTTAGCCTTGATGAGATCCAAACTTTCCTGGAGCCAAATTTTAGGGTAGTCTTTAAGGCTTGGACTCTCCAAACAGACAACACAAGCAGATACATAGGTATTGAAAACAGCCATAAAAACACCTCTATGAGTGATGTTGCTGAGTTGGTCTCGAGTAAGCTCACAGGCTTCAAGGAATAGTTCGTTATCTAGAAAGACAAAGCGGGATTTCTTGTTCAACGCAATCATTGTATCCAATAGTAGAGCGGACTCACGGACAGGTCGCCATGAGGATGCTTCTAGACCATCACTGTCTTCCAAAGTCTCAAATGTTGTATTGGCTTTGTACTGCTGCCACAGTTTCTGGCAGCATTTGAGAAGACATCGAAAGAGTTCAGTTGAGTATGTCTCTTGTTCCAAGAAAAACTCTGGTGATGTCTGGAAAGCTTTGGAAAAGAATGTGTAAAAGCCGTGTGGGGACTCTCCGTTGACTTGGAGGAGTCTTTCTTGGATTAATCTTATGAATTCGAGTAGCTTTCGTTGGTTCGTTGAGTAATGAGTCGCAAGAAGCAAGAGCAAATTGACGTTTTCATCGCTTTTCCTGCCTTGCACAGATTTCAAAGCTTCTATGGCATTGTTCAAATATTCAGAAAATAGGCCGTCCAGTTCATCAAACAAAAGGCCACTAGGGCATGTCTGGAGTAGCTTTCTGGCCTTTCCTCTGATATCCTCATAATTGTTTGTCGTGAAGCGAAGCATGACGGAATTAAAGGACAGCGTAAAAACTTCCAACACTGGGATAAGGTTTTTCAGCTTTTGGGTGTTCTTTCGGGCGACACCGTCGAATTCTTCTTCGACCAAAACTTCAAAGAAGTCAAATGCAATGAGAAGCAGCAGGTAGCTTGAACTTGGCGAGAGCTTCTTCATAAAGTAACTCAAAAGCCATTGAAAAACTCCTTTGATGGCTTCTGGTGACGACTCCCTATTGTGGATGTAACAGTCCTTTAAAGAGATGACGGCTTTTCTGATTGTAGACGAGAATGCATCTCTTGTCTCGGATGATCTTGAATCCTCCACAAATCCTTCGAGTATACACTCGTCAGTGAGGAGTTTAAGGATGTGTGCTGAAGGTATACGACTTGTTTTGATTGTTGAGACCACTAGTTGTAAAGCCGAAAGACGTATGCTCTCTGTGTCAGAGACCATAAGCTCAAACATCTCACCCTCTGTCAAGATCCCGCTATCTATAGGATCTTTTGATTTGGAGAGTTTTTGGCTAACATTAAGCACAGCTAGAAGAAGCTCTGGCTGGGATGCATCTATATGGTTCTTGATGAGAATCTCGACGGAATTGGGGGTCATGCGAAGTAAGATGGGAAGTAAATGCTGAATAATGTTTGACGATGTTTTTGGGTTATGGAGACCTGAGACGACAGGGGTAGCCCAGTAGTTGACAAACTCGCCTTCTGAGAAGTCCGTTTGTAGGTTCTGAAGCAAAGCCGCTAGGCATTTCGCTGCAGCATTGGCAACAGCTCCAGAAGCACAAGCTGAAACGAGCACCTCAACAAAACCAGGAATATTCTCTTTGAAGCCCTGAGATACCTGAGGACATTCTTTCGCTAAGGTCTCGATTATCTGGAAATGCTCTTTTTTGAGTGACAGGTCGTGAAACACAGATATGGCCCATTTCGTGCAAAGCTCGTCACCCTTAGCTCTATCCAACAAAAGTAGAAGCTGAACGAGTCTTCGTAGAAGTCCCAAACCGGCATTAGCCTGAGCTCCATGGGAGAAGTTGAGCGATCCCGTGACCCAATTGAAGACTGAATCTGAAAAAATGTCGTCCAGCGGTACCAATGTTGGGTCTGCCCCGGCCTTGAGCGCTTGAACGGCCCGTAGGTACCAGATCAGTAGGGCATCAGCAGCCTGAAGGTTTCTTTTAGGTGCTTCATTGGAGGGCTGGCTGAGGAGGGTGAGGATGTCTCTTTGAATCAGCCAAAATGAGGAATCAAAATCCAGCAGCGAAGGTGATACCTTGATGAGTTTGGCTTTTATATCTGCTATATCGCTGCCATTCTGGGTCGATTCACTCATACCATCAGTAGTAGAAATCAGACTAGCGATGTTGGGCATGTGATGCTGGTCACGTGCGGGAATCACCAGGAAACGGTCCACCATATTCACATATTTCTTAAAAAGGTTCAAAGTTTTATTGGCTTGGATTGACAGAATTACTTCATTTGTATGGTCCCTGGTGTTGGGATGTACGTGGGGAGATATATGTGTGGACTCACTTGCTCACACTGAGAAGGCTCAGTTCACCACCTCGAAAAAAGACGTCAAAAAACCTAATCTGATGGGCATGACATTGACGCCTGTTTTGATTTTTCATTTTTTTTTTTTTTTAATTTCTTCCCGCCCTTCTTCGTTCTCCAACAGCTGTGTCGCTTAGCGAATTGGTAACAAGCTGGTCCAATCAGACACAACCTCTGTCTCCAGCCAATACCAGCTGTAGGCCAAATTTAGTAACCAATTGACGAAATCCCTTTCAATAAAGTACGTCTTGGGCGGTCTCCAACATGATACTTTTCGGAAGCGGCTAACCCTCTTTCACGTCCAGACATACATTGTGTCAGAGCTTAAAGGATAAGCAGGGTGTGCTAAATGCAAGCTGCTCCACGGGTAACAAAACGTCAAAAAAGCGTCACTTTACGAAACACGAAAAGCAAAAATTTTCTCGGTGGACAGATGTTCCTTAGAAACAGGGTATTTTTGGAAGTTGCCAAAAAGCATCGATCAGCTTTATTTGACTTGTCCTTGTAGAGAAGGTACACCCACCAGGGCACGATTCCAACGTTCTTCTGGCTCGGACATTCTCCAAACCTCGGGCTCAAAGTCTAGAGCGCAATTCCTGGTTTTGACAAAAACAGAAACGGTGATTTGAAGCCCTCGAGCCCATTGTTGAAACCAAAACCATCAACTCCATATCGTTTCAAAGCCTCGGGCGCCAAAACAAATTCAGATTCCTCTCTTTCCGCCCCTACAAAAACGGCTTTCCGTATTGTGGCGAGCTCTCCCTTTAGAAACAGTGCATCACGTTATCGTCAAGAATGTTACACCGCATGAGTTATGAATCCTGTCACCGGCAACTAACCAGTACACAAAACTTCTAGTCAAACGTGGATTAAGCACAACTAAATACAAATTAAAAATTAGAACGCTCAGGCCTTGTTGCCTCTGAGCTGGTGGCCCCATTTCTTCAAGTACTTGAAGATCAAATCGTCGTCCTTGGAGTTCACCTGGACGTAGTTCTTGCCCTTGTTGAGCTTCTCGGCCTGGCCAATAGGTCCAAGCTCGCCGTCGTCGGCACCCATGGCCTGGACCTCCTCCAACTTGTGGTCTCTCAAGCAGAAACCAGCGAAAAGCATAGGAACACACAAGCAAAGACCGACAATACACAAGAGTCTCTGGACGTCGGCGTAAGCGAAAACAACGGCTTTTCTGGCGGGCGTGCCCCAGGTGTGGACCTTGATGAAATCGTATGGCTTCTTGTAGGCCTGTCTAGCCAAGGTAGGGTCAACACCCATTTTGACCATCTTGTCGTGGATGGTGTCGTACATTCTCTGGGTCCACATGACACCGGAGACACAGTCACCGAGAGCAGAACCGAACTTGTAAGTGGCCATGTAGACACCGGTAACGGAAGCCATGTACTCGTGGTCAGTACAAGACTGGATGGAGACATCGATGGTACGAGCAAACAAACCAGAACCGAAACCGAACACAATCATGGAGCCCATGACACCGTCAACGAATCTCTTGTCGTGGATACCGTCGTTAGAACCACGGAAGTAGTAAAGCATACCGGTACCGATGAACCAGAGCGAGATACCAGCGAGAATGAAACCCTTGGTTCTTCTGACACGAGCAACCACCAAACCAAGAAGAGGACCGACAACGGCAATCATAAAGGAGTTCAAAGAACCGATTCTGGTGGCAGTGGCCTTGGAGGCGTTCATTCCGACAAGCAAAACAGGGTACATGTAGTCGTGAGGCATCAAGTAGACGAACTTGTAGAACAAACCGATACACATGGCGGCAATGACACCACGGTCCTTCAAGAGAGGGAAGGGGAAAATAGGGTGGGTGGCGCCTCTGAGCTCCCAGTAGACGAAAACAGGAATCAAGCAGAAACCAATAACCAATGGAGCGATAATGTAGGCATGTCCCCACTTGGAGGTAGTACCACCGGCAAGGGTCAATGGGACCAAAAGGAAACCAATACAGATGGTGAAAAGGAAGATACCCATGACGTCGGACAACCAGAAGAACTCCTTGAGGTAGTAGTAGGTTCTGATGAGGAAGGCCTTGATGTTGCTGGAGTACTTGTGGTTGCTGTTACTTCTGGCCTCGGCAATTCTGTTGTTCATGTCAATGTAGGAATCCTGTTCCTCCTGGCAAAGATCAATGAAGGCCTGCTCCTTGCGCATCTTGAGTCTGGTCCAGATCAAGCAGCACATGATGGGGATGTTGGAAAGAGGGAAGATGAAAGCCCACATACCGATGGAGTACTCCCAGGAGTAGTTGTCGGTCAAGTTGGTGACGATGTTACCGGAAACCCAGGTGTTGATGATGTAAGGACAGGTGACGATGGAAATGGCGAAAAGTCTCCAGTTCATCTTGGAGTTGTCGGACATGATCAAACGCAACATGACCTTGATACCAGCCTGACCAAAAGCGTCAATAACGGCACCGGCAGCGAACTTGGAAAGGTAACCGGACTGAGACTCAATCAAAGAACCCATGGCTTTGAAAATCACAGCAATCAAAAGCAACTCCACACGTCCGTACATATCAGACATTCTGGCGAAAAATGGCAAGGAAGCAGCAGCCACCACGGATCTGATAACAGCGATAGTGGACAAAAGAGAGTGGTCAGCGAAACCGTTGGTGGCGTACGAAGTAAGCACTTTTCTGATACGAGTGTCCAAGGTAAAAACATAGGCAGAACAGAACAAGCAAACGTAAAGAAGGATACAGTTACGCTTGTTCTTGTAGTGCTCGGACAAAAGCTCGTTCTTTCTCACACCAAACGACTTGGTCGAACCATAGACGATTTCCTCGGAGGAGGAGTCGTGAGGGAAGGACTTTTCTTGAGCAGAGCCATTGTGGCCCAACTTCTCATCGGAAGAGACAGAGTGGGCCTTTGTGGTGTACTCGGTGGAGTTCCTGTTCTCCTCAATGGGAGAGTTGGTCTTCTCAGGAGCGGACATGGTCGTTGATGATAAAGATAAAATCCAAAAACAAGGCAGATCTGGTCTACTTAAATATCTGATCCGATCAGACAAGGCAAGGCCGGGATTTAGTGAAACCGATTTCGGGCTTTGCAGCCATTCGTGCGGTAGGGTTGTTAGCTGCACGGGAGAGAGCCTGCAGCTGTTGTGTGGGATAAGTTATGCAGCACATTAGCGCCATGGGCCAATCAGAGGGTGGTTTTGCAACGCCGTCCCTTTGCTTTTTTGGAATTAGTGAAATGACATTTGACACAGACAACGGTTTTGAGTGGCATATGCATGGCCCGCTGCGCGCAGTAGTCAAAACCTGCGTGTGCCGCATTCTCTGCAGGCGCTTAGCTGTCGTACCGCGCCTGTGTGCACTCCGTTGACAGCGAAGAGGGGGCGAGAACGCAGTACAACGTCAAGTGGTTTTTCCGGGCTCTTAGCGAAATGTGGGGGCGCACAAGCCCCTTCGAACGTGGCCAGCGAATTTGTTTTTTGATTTTTTCGATAATGCCCTTTTGTTCTATTCACGGTGAGCACATTATTTCCCACCTGGGCAAGCTGAAATGAGCGCTTATCCACACTGTGGATTCCCAAATTGAGCGCAATATTATGTACCCTGTAGAGCGCTTTTGTGCCGACAAGGCCTACCACTGGCTGGAAAGCAAAGATGTACGGCCGCTTGTCAAAAAAAGGTCCGTTATCTGATCATGTCAACTTTACCCGACGGGCTTTTCGCCAATGGCCTTTTACTCAGTCCGGCTCCTGAAATGCCGATCGCTTTCCAAAAGGCGGTTCCATGCTTGTTCGAGACCTTTGTGGCTTCTTTAGTCTGCCCCCCTACTACGTCACAGGGTCCTTAGAGGCTGGTGCAAATGATGCGTAGATTTGAATAACCGCTTTTATGGCGCCATATGCATTGTCTGTGGGGGTTCCAGTATGTCCGGGAACCTAGCTGTCCTTGTTGGGTCCAGGGCTCTCCTTGACAGGAAGCCAAGAAAAAAGAAAGTCAATGACAGCCTTCTGACATACGGTGACATAGAGAGGTGATATTAGGTTGTTGCACCAATTGTGAGGTGCCCTTTTTTAGCAACCACACCTCGGCCAATCCATGTACATCTATTTTTCCCAGATTTTTCGTTCAACAGTGCTCTTGGTATCGAGAGATGGAATTGATGAAAATGGACAGGTGCCACAAAACCGGTTTTGTGCAACCTCGTAGACACCTGCCAAACGCTTCTATCCAGTATGCGGCGCCAGGCCGCCTCATGCAACAAGGGTGTCTTCGATATCAGGAACAGTAGCTCCTGCCTGATAACTCCGGGGGTATCTGCTTTGCATGGAGCATACGGCCTCTTGGTGAAAATAGAGAAATCTGCAGATTCTTTTTTCTTGTGACTGATTGCCGAATTGGTTGCAGTATAGCCATTCACGAACCTGCCTTGACGTCTTTTCACCCGCATAACCATTATGGACGTCGCCTAAGCGAGCATCCCAACCATTGCGCCGTGTCCATTCCGGAAACCCGGGTATCGGTGCGTGGCAATTGCACAATCACTACTACACTTTTGCAAAAATTACATCTACAATTGTAACTTTAAAGTTTCATCCTTTAGTCATTTTTGTGACATGTCGGAGCGCCTGGGGTGCGCTTGTTCGGATTATCAAATTGCGCTTGTAAGCCTTTGTCTGACATGCCGGTCGGGCTTTAGTTTTTCCAGGGATGCGAGTGGCTGAACCCGGAACGGATACTAGCATGAGGTTTTGAAAAAAAAAAAAAAAAATCTGATAACTTTTGGTTAGTGGTTTTTTCACTTTTTTCCTTTATTTTTGGTTTTCACCAGCTGCAGCCAATAGCACACTTCTAGCAGCATGCCCGGAATAACAGGACCACAGGGGTGGGCCGCCCATCGGCCGCCGCAAGTACATTTTTCAGCCGCCGACAAATCAAATTGTCCATGATGACCAGAAACTCGTTTTTTCCAAACTCTATGCTCGTCTGTGTGTCGTTTTAAATTAGGTTAGCAGTTCTGCTTTCGCAGATGACATGGTGCGACACATATAATTCCCTAAACAAAAGCCTCTTCTCAGGAGACGGTCTTGCTTTTAATTGCTATTGGCTCCAACGGCGAAGCCGGAATACGTATTGTAGAGCTCTCGCCCAATGTCGTAGTACCGTTGTAGATGCATGGATTATGAGGTGGTTAGAACCGATTTTGGCGTGAAGTGCTGGTTGAAAAAAAAAAATAAAACCATGGAGTTGTAGCAATGGCACAAAACCTGCTTTTGCGGCACTCGGAGCACGTCTTTCTGGGGTACTCCGTCTGCAGCTTCCTCGTGTGAGTATAAGCCTCCCACGGGCTGGATTGATAAAAGCGCTAGGCCGGCTGTGGATGTTGCAAAACTAGCTACTATTGCTTGATTCAGGGGTATTCTGTTTGGCGTCTTAAGGATGAGTTAGGGAAGTGCGCTGCTTGTCTAAGTGAAGGGAGATTACGGTGATGCAAGTGCTTCTTGTTTAGAGGCCGTTTTGGAATGCCTAGAAATATTTGAAACTGGGCGGCAGGGCCAGACCAGGCCTTACTGGTTTTTTTTTATGGAATTTGTGGGATTCCGTGGGTATCCGTGAGACTCCGGGCACGAAGGGTTGGTGGGATGGTGGGATTTTTGGTTCTGGTGGATTGGGCTGATTTTTGTGGAACCGAGGCTTTTGTGGACTCGGGGTGGTGTCTTCAAAAGTATGGATTTTCAATTAGAGAATGGAAAGTTGTCGAAGTGATTGAAGTGTGATGGGTTCGTCGTGGTTGCTGTGATTAGAACTAAAGGACTACCATGGTGAACTCCGGTGGTGCTTCAAGAAAGCATTAAATTTTGCGTTTATGCTATCTCACAAAGTTTTCCACCTAAGGAGAGCTGGTGGTTGCAGAATTGTTGAATCAATTGTGGTTGCTTCAAGCAAACGTACTACCACGATGAAGTCCGGAGCTACTTTTACAAAGCAGTAGCTGCTTGACTTTTACCTACACGAAAATAATCCAAAAACCTCCGTGATAAAAAGGCTGGAAAAGTGGAATTACGTTCCCGGTTGCCATGGTCCAATATCGTCCCACCATGGTGAAGTCCGGTTCGACTACAGCACTACAATGAATACCCCCATCATGACCCTCCAGAACCAGCGAAACTTCGAAATTTCCAGAACTCCAAAACCATCGAAATTCCAAAATTCCAAAAGCACACCCTGCTGCTACTTTCTCCATCACCCTATACTGATAACGCCATGACTTCCTCGGCCTCCCTCACCCTGCAATCACTCAAACACCAGCTTCCACCACGCCATCTAGCCTACTTTCAAAAACCTTCCAAAACCTTCCCAAAGTGACCCCTGGATCACCACACTTTGCCGAAAATGGCACAAACGCAACGTTGTATTCCGCTCGTCTCGGAACCTCCACAATGAAAAAGTACGATACGGCTGTGCGATGGACCGAGGCACAGACACCAAAAGACCCCTAGCGACGTTTTCTTCGACATCGTCTCGACAAAAAAAAAAAAATTCCATTATCAACTCTAGAATCTTCCAAAATTAAGTACCCAAACCAGCATCAATACTGCCTCCGCTTTTGCCTGTTCGGCTTTTGTGTGTAATAACGGCACGTTGAGCGCAAGGTGTGCGCAAAAGTGAGCCATCGTTACTGAGGTGTGTTTCCTTATAAGTGTTCCTTTCCATCCTCAAAATTCCACACCGATTTCCAAAAAACCTCATCATGTCCAGCGCTACCACAGGCAGAAAGGCCTGGGAGTCGTACTACCATTTTTTCCCCTTCTACATGCTTACAAGCAGAGAGCAGTTGTTGTTGCACGTCTTCGTGCTTCTGTTTTTCCTGTTCATCGGCTGGGGCGTCTACCTGTGTTTGCCCGCCTACGTGCCGTTCGTGCTTTCTAGAGGGAAGTACTACTTGACGGGCTCCCAGGAGGCGCTCGGCAATTTTGTGTTGAAGATGAAGTAGATAGCTAGTTAATGAATATGATGCGCACTTAGTACCATGTATCGAAGAGGTAGGGTTCGTGGGTTCAAGCCCCCACGGCCGGTGGGGACCCAGGGAGGTGTGGATTCGGGGTCTCTGGGTTCTGGAGATTCTGGAAATCCAGTTGTTTTGGGGTCAAACGGCGGTGCAGACGGTGTTGTTGATGGTGTTAGTGAGAAGCGCTTGGTCAAGGAAATTCCACGTTTGAAGCGGACACAGGGCGATTTGAGGCGTGGTAATGACAAAGTACGTGGATCTGGAGGTGAAGAATCCAGTGGAAGTGCTGGAATTGGCTTATCGGCGCTGGACGCGTCGGACGGTGGAAGTCTACGAAACCACAACATTGTGGACATGGACGGTGAAAACGACGTGGCAAAGTCGCCTCCGCTATTCTGTGAAGCTACATCTCCAAAAGCGTCGAAACCGCTACTCCTTTCTGGCCAGGGTCGCCGCCTAAATGCACCTAAAACCGGAACAGTTCTCAAAAGACTCAAGCTAGACATCAACAGACCAGCCAGCCAAGCCACCCAGCCGTCCTCCTCCACCAAACTCTCCTGCCAGTGGCGGAAAAGATCAAATAAAAAGAACAAGTCCTGGGAAGGCGACGGGTTTCTCTATGTGCTGGATTCTGGTGTCGTCCTTAAGGCTGATACCAAGGGAAACGGCACGCTACGAGTTCTAGGGCGATCTTCCAATTCAAACACCAGTGGTCTTCTCGTTCTTGGGCAGTTTGAAGCCGAGGTGGACGAAGAAGGCGAGACAAGGCATATTCCAATCAACCAGCCTGAACCACAGGCGGTTCCTGCTCCTACGAGCTTCAAATCGCCCTTTCACGCAAAAGAACCGAAATCTAAAGCTCCTGAAGCCTTCCATCTTCACGATAAAGTCACCGTGGATCCGACACTTACCAAGTTTCTTAGGCCTCACCAACGAGAAGGTGTGCAATTCATATACGATGGGCTTCTAGGGCGCCGTGTGGAAGGCCAGCGGGGTGTTCTTCTAGCGGACGAAATGGGTCTTGGAAAGACACTCATGACGATCACCGTCTTGTGGACGCTTTTAAAGCAAAGCTCTACCGGCAAGAGCCAAGACGCACTGAAGGTGCTCGTTTGTTGCCCTGTTTCTCTCATTGACAACTGGCGCAAGGAGTTCACCAAATGGCTCGACAAGAACCGTATAGGCGTGCTTGCGTTGAACGGCAAGAACCAGTCGCCCGCTAAGGACAAACAGGATATCAACGGTTTTGCCAGAACCAACGTCTACCAGGTTCTCATCATGGGCTACGAGAAACTGCTTCTGTGTGCCAAAGAAATATGTGGAGAAAATTATCGAGATTCTCGAGATGGAAGAATATTCTGATGCAATTGTTGGTAATCTTGGATCTGGTCTTAATGTTGAGCAACGTAAGAAGTTGACCATCGGAGTCGAATTGGTTGCTAAACCATCCTTGTTGTTATTCCTTGATGAGCCAACCTCCGGTTTGGACTCCCAGTCTGCTTGGGCCATTGTGAAACTTTTGAGAGATCTCGCTTCAGCTGGTCAGTCGATTCTTTGCACTATCCATCAACCTTCAGCTACCTTGTTCGAAGAGTTTGATCGTTTATTGCTTTTGAGGAAGGGTGGTCAAACCGTGTATTTTGGTGACATTGGAGAGCGCTCGAGAGTTATTCTCGACTACTTCGAGAATAATGGCGCCAGAAAATGTTCCGAAAGTGAAAATCCCGCGGAGTACATTTTAGAAGCAATCGGTGCCGGTGCCACTGCCTCCACAGCTCAGAATTGGTTCGAAGTTTGGAGTAGATCACCAGAGAAGGTTGCTGTTGAGAAGGAGATCGATCGCCTCATTGATGAAGGCAAGCAGAAAGCTGGTCTCTCTGAGAAGGAGCTCAAGGCTTTGCAGAACCCATATGCCACCTCGATCATGTACCAGTACGTTCTTCTTATCAAGCGTATTGGGTTGGCTTATTGGAGGAACCCTCTGTACATCATGGCGAAGTTGTCATTGATGACCATGGCTGGTTTATTCATTGGATTCACTTTCTTTGGTTTGAAGACTTCTCTTACAGGAATGCAGAATGGTATGTTCTGTGCTTTCTTGTCTGTGGTGGTCTCCGCTCCTGTCATCAACCAGATTCAGGAACAGTGTGTTGCGCTTCGTGAGGTTTTTGAGGGCAGAGAAAGACTCTCAAACACTTATCGTTGGTGGTTGCTTCCATTGGCTCAATTCGTCGTTGAAATTCCATTCAACTTTTTCTGTGGTGCCGTGATGTTCGTCTCGCTTTACTTCCCAACAAGAGCAGATTTTGCAGCCACTCACTCCGGTGTGTTTTATTTGACCTTTGGAATCTTCTTGCAGTTGTTTAACATTTCCTTCGGTTTCATGCTTGTTTACATGGCTCCTGATGTTCAATCTGCTGCAGTGTTGGTTTCATTTTTCTACGCCTTCATTGTGTCGTTCTCTGGTATTGTGCAGCCAAAGGATTTAATGCCAGGTTTCTGGACTTTCATGAACAAAGTGAGTCCTTACACCTACATTATCCAGAACTTGGTTGCCTCTTTTCTCCACAAGAGATCGGTCCACTGTGCCGATTCTGAGCTCTCTAAAGGCGCTCCTCCTGAAGGTCAGACTTGTGGTGAATTTATGAATGCCTTCATTGAAAGAGCTGGTGGTTACTTGGTGGATCCTGACAGTACTACTCAATGCGAGTACTGCCAGTACACTAACGCTGATCAATATCTTGCTACCATCCAGACCAGCTACTCCAACATTTGGCGTAATGTTGGCTTCTTCTGCGCCTACATTGTTTTCAACCTTATCGCCTGTCTTTTGTTGTACAAGGCTATCAGACTTACGAAGTGGAAGCTTCCATCCTTCAAATTCAAGAAGAACTAATTTATACGATATCAATCAAACTATTTATAAAAAGTAAATATATAATCAAGCATATGAAAAGAAAGAAATCAACGTCATCAGGAATCATCAGGTAAAAAAATCATGTCATCATAAAAACAGTGACAAAGTTAGAAGGGTATGACGATTCAAGATAATGGGGATTAAAAACGCAGTCTTTATTGCGGTTTGAGCAATTCGAAAGAGCAACACAATTTTTTGTCAACACTCATGACGGCACCATAATTGTTAAATTCACCACAATAATTGGGCGCCAGGAAGACTGTGACCAACTTCCTTCTGTTGAAAAACTCGTAGCCGTCTTCCACAACCATGTGACCTCTGACAATCAAGTCCATGTTGAATTTGTTCAAAAAGTGATCGACGTGTTTCTTGCCGAAGCAATAAGAAACACCACGATCATTCTTGGGCCAATGAGTCTCCGAGAAAGACTTCAACTTTGGATCTGGGTCAGACCACAACAAGTCTGCCAACAAACCCTTGTCGGGAATATCGGTAGGCCTCTGGATCTGTTCAATTTGTTTGAGATCACGTAACTCCGGTGACAAACCTCCATGAATTGTGAATATCTTGTCATTAATGGATGCTGCAATGGGCAAACTGTTGAACACATCTATAAAATTCTTCCACAACTTCAGGCTTCCTGAGATGAGAGGCAATCTTCTCTTACATTCGTCGTAGAAGCCATAAATCTTGGTGATATTGGCCGACTCGTGATTGCCTCGCAACATGAAAAAGTTCTCTGGATACTTAATCTTGTAGCACAACAAAAGCAAGATGGTCTCCAAAGATTTGTAGCCTCTGTCCACGTAGTCACCCAAGAACAAATAGTTCGTATCAGGAGGATGTCCACAAGAGTTGAAAATTCTGATGAGATCGTGGTACTGACCGTGGATATCACCAACAATCTTGACTGGAGGGGACAACTTCAACATGGTGGGTTGGTCCAAAAAGATGGATCTCGACTTGGCAGTGATGAGTTTGATCTCATCAGCTGTCAAGGGTAACTTGTCACGAGAGGATCTAGACTTGAAAGCAGTGCTAGATCTTCTGTGACCGACATTCAACAAACGTTCAATGATACTGTCCAAATCGAAATCAACTCTTCTTGAAGTGGGGATCAATGGGGGAGACGATGGAGCGGAAGATATAGAGGTCTTCGAAACCAACTTGCGGCCGAGTTCACTGAATTTAGGGATAGCTTGTGAGTCGTTCGTCTTCACAGCTTTTCTAGCCTTGGCTGTGTCAGTCGAGCTCGAAGAGACGCTCGAGGACAGACTAGACAGCTCCTGAATAGGATCTAAGCTATCAGGCGATTGCAAAAAACCACCCTTCACGTTAACTGGCAGGTTGGAAGATATCAGAGAGATCAGGCTCTCCTCTTTGGTCTCACCGCCGTTTGTGAACACAGACAAGGCATTCAGGCTTTCCATGCTAGACGACGAGTTGAAGGACTGGTATGACGAAGGTGCCAACCATTCCTTAAGGGAGCGAGCGCTAGAGTTCCCGTTAAGCGCTGTCGCCACAGAAATGTCTATCTCAATGTTTATATCATCACGAGGAGTCGAGGACTTTCTAGAGCCCGACGAGGAAGTGCCGTTGGAAGAGCGAGGGATATTCTTTGGCCCGACTGAAGGAGTGACGTTGGAGTTTTTGTTGGGGTAAGGGGCGTCTTTAATCTGCTTATCTTGAAAAGTAAAACTCTTCAAACTTTGGTCTAAAAGTTCACTACCGTTTCCGGTAGGCCGTGATAGCGGGGGCACGGTGTCATCCTGGTCCAAGTCTTGAGCTTCGAAGGTAGGGACACCGTTCAGTGTAGCTGAGCTATTCGGTAGGGGGTCATTTTTGGACGGGCTATTTCCCATAACTTGGATGGTTGGGTACTTGAAAAAAGTTGGTGGGCCCGCGGGGAAGTTTGAGTCTGGTTTTTAAAAAGGTGAAAGGTAGGAAGGGGCAAGCCTTAAAGTGTAGGGGTAAATTGGTGTTGTGCGAGGTTGGGAAATTTTAGATGGATGAGGGAGGAATTTAATGGATTAATTAGAGGTGCGGGTCGTGCGCGCCGCCGTTTTCTTAGCACCGTGGCACAAAAAAATTTCTGGCTGTGGCAGGAATCCCGATTAAGTGGCGCCGCGATAAGCCTGTCAAAAAAAAAGATCTGCCCACCGTCTATCTGGGGCAACGTTTGAAAGGAGTAAAAATTAGAAAAATAGAATGCGCAAAAATGGGTCCTTCTTATACTTTGACGCGGTCAGGGGGCGTCGTGATCCCGTTTCTTTTGTCCACGTTCCTCTAATCGGACCTCGTTTTCTGTCCATGTGACGTGAGACCTTTTGCGCTGTCGGTCCCGAATCCAGATGCAGCTAGCCCTATGCAACAACCCGTTAACATGAAGGTTGCCATGAAAAAGTGGCGCCGGTTTTTCAACGAGCTTGACCAGCATGACTAAAAGTTGCTCATGGATTGTAAGATTTTACGGTGCTTTTAAAAAATGTTTTGTTGTTTTTATTTCTTGACATGTTTAGTGTGGGGACGTGGCTGGAGAGGGTTTTCGCAACCTTTCGGCCTTCCAGCCCTTTTGCACAAATAGGGGTCCCAAAATTAGAACAATCTGTTGCACTAACTACCAGATTATGAGCCTCTTTAGGGAAATTTATCGCATGGGGGTAAGCTTCTGAAACACTGCCCGGCCTCTACTTCCGACACAACGGTTTCACCTCTACTCTAACAGCTAACTCAAACTCATTACCGTATAATTCCTCGAAATCCCTGAAATCAAGCAAATTCTGAACCTGTTAGGCTTGCTAGCAGAGCCGAGTCTAGTCTCCACACCTTGTAGTCAACATGACCATCTGACCTTCCATGACGGCAATCGAGCTGGTTACCAGTAACACCATTGTTTTGATTTCTTCTTTCGTTCTTTTCGATTCCGTGACCATTCTTTTCCCAACAACCCCTTTTGTTTACTTGGCTCTCTCTTGGTCGAAGTTTGCCTATACATAGCCCGCCAAGAGCTATATCGAGCCCCGGAACAAACTATCTGGAGTACGTGAGGAACGATGAAAGCAATTGCAGAGAAGAAAGATGGTGAATAAATTGTGATAATGCTATATCTGGGGAAATTTGAAAGAAGTTGTTGGAAATGTGGGACGTGTATCGCTTGCTTAGAGTACAGTATATGCCATGTAGGCAGAGGCGGGGCAACCTTGGCGAGAAACTGTCAGCCAAACAAATGAACCCATTCCTGAGGGGCACGTATTTTGTTTCTCCGTATCTTAGTGGGGAATATGTGGTGCATTCTGAATCATTCAACATATCATCGACCGAGGCATGTAACTTCAAAAGGAAATCACCACAGAAGGTCACATTACTCGCAACCGCATAATTGCATGATAAATATGCATATTTACGCTATCCAGGCTTCCCGTAAATGTACCAGCAAAGCAAGCACCGTTTAGGTCCCCAACGCCCCACTTAGATCGCGTCATTTCTATTTTGCAGCCAAACTCTCAGCCAGCCCAAAACGCCCTTTAGCTATTTTAATGAAAAGTTCTCATACCATGACTTTATTTCCCTAAAACCCACCAATTGAGTTCTCTCGCTCTTCTTAATTGCTTTTTTGTGGAACCTCTGGTAGTAGTGATCGTCGTAGTATCGCGAAATCTGATACTCCATGTTCCGCAACCTTACCAGAATGGCATCCTCAATCAAGTCGGCTGGCTGCCTCATTATCGGGGACGAGGTGCTCAATGGTAAGATCCTAGACACAAACTCTTTTGAGTTTGCCAAATACTGCTTCAAAGAATTGTCAATTCCAGTGAAGAAGACGATTGTCTGTGGAGACGACCAGGACGACATCATCCGCTCCTTGAAGACTCTCACGGATGAGAACTGCGACTTTATTGTTACTTCTGGAGGCATTGGATCCACTCATGACGACATTACATACGACGCTTTAGCTGCTGCCTTCAAGGTTCCATGCACATTGGACAAAGAGACTGTCCAAAGGATGCAATCTATACGAGGTCTGTATTTGGCGGGATTGAAGAAAGAGGAACTAAATGCTTTTTACAGAATGGCCACGTTGCCTCAACCCTCTGGCGACACAAAGGTACTGAAGCTCTTCATTGATGACTCCCTATGGGTTCCTATCGTCGGTCTCAACGATAAGGTGTTCGTGTTGCCCGGTGTTCCACAACTATTCAAGCGTTTGCTTATAGGACTAGGCGAGTCAGTGAAGCCTCGTTGTGTTTCCCAGGAGTATACTCGCTTCTTTGTCAAAACTAGAAGAGGTGAGCTGAGCATTGCACCCTTCTTAGGTGAAATACAGAAACGCTGTGACGCTTCCTTCAACAAGAAGGTGAAAATTGGATCTTATCCTCACTTTGACTGGAAAATCGTTACTGTGAGTATAATTGGCGACAAATCTGTTCCTGAGCTGGACTTACGGAAGGTCGTCGATGAGGTCAGGAAGAACGTGGAAGGTGAAGAAATCACCGCAGCAGAGGAAGACCATCTCACCACATGCTCACCGCCTCATGTCTAGTTTCCTCAATAAGTAGATATTATTAGATATATACCCGTCATGCTTGGAGGCACGATCCCATCTATGCCAACTTCTCCGTAAGTGCCTTCTTGACAGCTTCAACAGCCTGCTCAACACCTTCTGGCTTGTCACCCATACCTTGCACAATGTTGCCTCTACCACCGGCCTTACCACCAATGTGTGCAATGGCAACCTTGGCCACCTCATTGGCATCAACACCCTTGCTGATAGCCTCGTCGGAGATGTAACAACCATGTGCGACCTTGTCTTCCGTACCAGTGATGAGGTAGAGAGACTTGTCCTTGTTCTCCTTCTTTATAAGGTTGAAAGCCTCGGTAATAGCCTTGGCGTTAGCGCTGATTGGAACATGGGCCACGAGGAAAGCAGCTTTCAGCTTCTCCTCATCCTTCAACCAATCGTTGACAACAGCCAAAGTCTTCTTGGACTCCTCCTTCTGCTTGGCCTTCAAGTTGTCCTTGATAGATTTGTCCAACTTGGTGAACTTCTCGTTAAGCTTCAGCTTGTCGACAACCGAGATTGACAACTTCTTCAAAGCAACACCGAGCTCCTTGGCCTTCTGCTCCTTGTCTGGACCAAATGGCAAGTTAGCGGCAGCATCCAACTCAGCACCAAAATCTCTGGCGATCTGCTGGACGCGATGAGCATCATGGCCAGTGACAGCGACGATTCTTCTGGTACCCTTAGCAATACCGGACTCCTCAATGATCACCAAATCCTTGATTTCGGATGTCTTGGCAACATGAGTACCACCGCAAAGCTCGATGGAGTACTTGTGCCACTCCTTGTTCTCTGGCTCGCTGAGCAATTTAGAAACGGGAACACCGATAGAAACGACTCTGACTGGGTCTGGGTAAACTTCACCGAAAACAGCTCTAAGACCGTTGATCAGCTTAGCATCGGTCAAGCTCACGTCCTCAGCAAAGACCTCCAAGTTAGCCTTGATGTTCTCGTTGGAGATTCTTTCGACCTCCTCGACTTCCTTGAGGGTCAATGCCTGCTTGTTGCTGAAGTCAAATCTCAACTTCTCAGCAGCAACCAAGGAACCCTTCTGGTCAACGCTGTCACCCAAGACCTCTCTCAAAGCGAAGTTCAACACGTGAGTACCAGTGTGGTTGTTTCTGATAGGCCATCTTCTCAATTCATCGTAGGTGGCAATGACCTTGTCACCGACCTTGAGAGTACCTTCACTCAAGGTACCAGTGTGCAAAACGTAACCGGCGTAGGATTGAACGTTGTCGACGTGGAATTCGGCACTACCGTCAATGACCAAAGAACCAGTGTCAAACTCCTGGCCACCTTGCTCAGCGTAGAATGGGGTCTTGTCCAAGAGAATACCGAACTGCTGGCCAGTCTTGTCAATGGAGTCGACAAAAGAAGTGCCGTCGTAGAAAGCAAGAATCTTGGACTTGGTGTTTTCCAAACCAAACTTGTAGTGGTCATCAGTCTTAGGGACAGCATCGTTGCCATCCAACTCAGACAATGCATGGACATCCAACTTGATCAAGTCAGCGCCAGTCTTGGAACCAGAAGCCTTGGAGGCCTCTCTGGATTCCTCCTTGGCCTTCTCGAAAGCTTCCTCGTCAATCTTTAAGCCAGCTTCCTCAGCCATCAATCTGGTCAAATCCACTGGGAAACCGTAGGTGTCGTACAATCTCCAGACATCCTTACCGGACAATGTCTGCTCTGGAGTCTTAGAGGCAATGATAGCGTACTGTTCAAACAACTTCTCACCTCTGTCCAAGGTCTTGGCGAAGGACAACTCTTCCTCAACCAAGATCTCCTTGAGCTCATCCTTGTGAGAGGCGATTTCTGGGAAGATCTGGGAGTTCTCCTGGATGACGACATCAACAAGCTGCTCAAAGAAGTGGCCAATTGGGTAGTTCATGTACTTTCTAACGTAACGAGAGCCTCTTCTCAAGATTCTTCTCAAAACGTAACCTCTACCCTCATTGTTAGGGACACCACCATCGGTGATAGCGAAGGTTAGCGTTCTGACGTGGTCAGCAATAACTCTGTAAGCGGTGTCGATACCATCAACATCATCGGAACCAAACTTACCAGTGTATGGTCTAACACCAGTGATATCACGGATCTTGTCGAAAAGAGGGCTGAAGACATCAGTGTCGTAGTTGGAGGACTTGGACTGCAAGATGGAGACCAATCTTTCGAAACCCATACCGGTGTCAATGTGCTTGTTTGGCAATGGCCTAAGAGAGGAGTCAGCCTCTCTGTTGTACTGGATGAACACGACGTTCCAGACCTCCAAGACATTGGGGTCGTCCATGTTCACCAAGTGGGCGGCGTTTCTTCCACCAATTCTGTCGTAGTGAATTTCAGAACATGGGCCACATGGACCTTGGTCACCCATTTCCCAGAAGTTGTCAGAGGCGTCACCAGGCAAGATGTGGTCCTCGGCCACACCGACATCCAACCAGAACTGCTTGGCCTCGAGGTCTGGCTGCAAGCCATTCTTCTCGTCACCCTCAAAGTAAGTCACGTACAAACGGTCTTTTTCCAACTTGAAGACCTCAGTCAACAATTCCCAAGACCACTCGATAGCTTCCTTCTTGAAGTAGTCACCAAAAGACCAGTTACCCAACATCTCGAAAAAGGTGTGGTGATAAGAGTCCTTTCCGACGTCATCCAAGTCATTGTGCTTACCACCGGCTCTAATACACTTCTGGGAGTTAGCAGCTCTCTTCAAGCTACCAAAATCAGTAGAAGTGTCGACGGTTCCAAGGAAGATTGGCTTGTACTGGTTCATACCAGCGTTGGCGAACAATAAGGAAGGATCATTGTGAGGAACGACAGATGAGGAAGGCACAAAAGTGTGCTGCTTGCCTTTGAAAAAATCCAAAAAGGTCTGTCTAACTGTGCTAGCGGGCCAGGTTGTCATGGTGAGCTTGCGAGTTAGGGTCTTTAGCATGGAGATCTGGCGTATTGAAGAAATTTCTCATGTGTAATTGGTGTACGGGTGTATGGGATGTAAGGCTGAAATACCTAATAGGTCCAGGGGTTCGTGGAAGAGTGAGTTCTATGATGTGGTGGAATCACAGAAGGACACAATTTCACAATTTCCGATCGACGGTGGGAATTGGCTTTGTTATGGCGTAGTGAACCATTGTATGCGATGGCTGCGAAAAAGTTACTGATAGTCGATCAAGGTTTGGAGTCTGTGTTTATCAAAATTACTGAAATCATAATCTTTTGTTCTAGTAAATTGTCGAATTGCCAACTTTATTGCCAACTTCGATTGTTGATAATATTAGAAACACGATGAACCATAAGTTCTTGGTGACTCAGACCGCGTAGCATAGACCAAAGGTTTCCATTCAATCCTACTAATACACCCCGAGCTGAGAAAGATAACAAGCTTATTGATTCCTCGATATCCAAAGTTCAGGTCAGTGTATGTCCATTGGTTTATGGGCCAGCTGGCCATCGATCAAAAGTATGCAGCTGCGAATACATTCACTTGCAGTGTTCGAAGCATAGCGGGTGGGGAAGATTCACATAAACTGCATTCCACTTATCATCGTGAGGACTCAGACATCTCAATCATGAACTCACATGTAATTTGACGAATCGACAAGATAACAGCATTGCCTCATTGAATTAGCCGCAGCACTTGAAAAACCAACTGTGATACTTTAATGAGAGCAAAAAGCAAAATCTGCATTTTGCGATACATTCTACGATTCTTAAACGGCTCGCGTAGGATGCCACACTGAAAATAGCAAACATTACTCCAAGTTAAATAAGACAGTATTGTTAAATTTCGATATTTTGAAAATTCTCTTTGTTTCTCATCGGCATTTCCTTTGCAGTTAGTCGACAACGGCTTCTGGAGAAAGGCTTGTTAGAAAGCCACCTGCATACGGTTGGATGCCTTTACCCTTTTGGGCGATCAAATTGCTCGTACTATGGTTCTAATCTCTCATCTTTAATCTGGCCCTGAGATCTTGATATCATGGTCTAGCTTCTTTTCCACTCCAGCATCCAACATGATTCTAATAAACGAAGTCAAGTACGCTTGCATGGAGTGTATCAGAGGACATCGCTCCTCGATGTGCCGGCATCATCAAAGGCCGCTACTACAGGTTAGACTGAAGGGGAGACCAAATGTGGGATATGGCAACAAAAACCATAGAATTGCTGTCTTCGCTGAGGAAATCGCATCTCTGCCCGAGCCAGAGGATGGCGACAGCTGCAGAGATTTCCCCGTTGTGATTTTGAAAGCTTCCGACAAACAAGTCATTGACCTTCTGAACGGTCAGATCCTAGGGCCTTATAGTGAGGCCGCCAAGGACATGTACAATACAAAACCTGTGATTCGCTCCGACAGCTTTATCAACTCATCATCGTGTTGTTCTAAGGGGGCCTCCAAAGTGAGTAAACAGTGTTCCTGCAACAAAGCTAATGTTTCCAAGACAAAGATTCTCAAATCCTACTTTGACAAACATAAGGGCAAGGATGTTCGGGTCAAGAAGGAGCCACAGGTCGTTCCAGCCAAGCTGAGCTGCTGTAGCTCGAAGAAGCAGGCCAACGGAAATGCCCAGAACGAGAACGGTTACTCGGCGAACATTTTTGCTAATCCGTACTACGCGGGACAGTTGAATAATGCAACACAACCACAGCAAACCTATAACATGTCGTTCCCACAGATGCCTCAAGGGTATCCTCCCCTACAAAACAAGCTTCCTCAAACTCAGGTGTACCCAGACACATTCCAAGCACAACCTCAATCTCAGCAAGACATGTTCCACAATTTCGCTGCAAGCAACACAGGAGAAATATTCGAGGTTGTCAACGTACCCTCTTGCTCTATTCTGGGAACTTGTCGGTGTACAGCAGATTGTAAATGTCCAGGCTGTGTTGAACACAACAATGCCCCCAAGCCACAGGCTGAAGTACAACTTGAATCCCTTAGAAATGACGCTCAGTACGGCTCAAACTTGATTCTAACGCTGAAGGAGCAGAAACACACTGAACAAAGACAAACACAGCCGATGTTACCGCCAGTATCGTTTCCGAAAGACTTCGATACCTATGCTAATTTCCTCCGCCAGATCATTGGAGATTCACAAGATGTTCAAGAAGCTCAGAATGGCAATGAGCCCGAGCGTGTAGCTAACGAAGAACAGGCGTGTGAATGTCCTGAAGAGGCATGTTTCTGTACTAATTGTGAGGCACACGGCATAATTGATGGCTACAGACTAGACGACATTTTCAATTCCCGTACAGTTGATCAAACAATTAAGACAGAGCCATTAGACCGAACGTCGTTTGAGTCAAAACGATCATCGATTGAACCCAGCACTTCCGTGCTGTCCCTCAGCTCAAACACATCGACGTTAGGCAAGAGAACCTAACACTTCCCCTTGTACATATAAGGGCCTTGAGGGCTCAACAATGTTAATGCATTTTCATGACTGAGACGTAACTTTTCTACAATTCTGCAGGTTTGAAGCACTCCACTTATAACCAGCATGCGTCAAACTTCGGAGTGTGCAAAACTTGGGGTTCTGCGTGCATCAACATCTGAGACAGCTACAACCCAAAAGTGGCGTGACCTGCACACGCCGCGATGGGAGCAATGCTCATGGAACCTTCTAGCAATTCCATCGTCTTCCATAGATAAATGTACCTCAGGTCGCTTCACGCAGGGTTGACTTATCAGAAATAAATAAACAGCGTCACGTCCAGACAAGCTTCCAAAGTCTTCCACAGCACAGTCCACGCACTAAGAGTCTGCAATTGCTAGCCTACTATGGCATCCTACAATTCTGAGGAGTCAGGCCTGACAAGAGATAACGACATACAGGTCATCAACAGAGATGAACCTTACCAGCCTACAGATGATGAGTATCACGAGAATGTCGTGTCTCCTTCGTTTCCATCATTAGACCTCCCCACCCCCAATGGCACCCATAATCACCTATTCGATGACCTCGACAATAATCAAACCAAAGAAGACGGTACCTACCCACCTTCACTTTCACCATTGACGGAATTTGTAAATACTCACGGAGATCATATCATCAATGGAGAGAATGAAGACCGTAACGGCAATGCCGGAATCTTGACGAGGTTGAACACAAGCAACAACTACATCCCACCAATGCCGGCACTTTCGGAATCGGTTTTGCCAACTGCCCAGCCCAGCTCTCAGCTTCCCACGAGCTACATGCCTAATAATTATGCTAATACCAATCGCAACCAGTTGATGATCACGGGTAAGAAAAAGAAGGAGGCCTCGGGCCCCAAGGTCAAACCAGCTTTTGTCATGAAAGTTTGGTCAATGGTCAATGACCCAGAAAATCAAGAGTACATTCGGTGGAATGATGACGGTTTGACGTTTCAAGTCTACCATCGCGAGGAGTTCATGAAGAGTATTCTCCCCAAGTACTTCAAGCATAACAATTTTGCATCGTTCGTCCGTCAGCTTAACATGTACGGTTGGCATAAGGTTCAAGACATCAGCAGTGGCCTGATGGCCAAAGAAGCTAAAAATGCCGAAGAGGTGTGGCAGTTCAAGAATCCATACTTCGTCAGAGGTAGAGAGGATCTTCTTGACAATATCGTGCGTAATAAGTCTGGCACGCAAGAGGAAGTCTCAGAACCCAATATCAATCTTCAGCTTCTTGTTACTGAACTTGATCAAATCAAAATGAATCAGTTGGCTATAATCGAGGATATGAGGCGAATCCGGAAAGACAATCAAACCTTATGGACCGAAAGTTTTGCAACCAGAGAGAAGCACCAGAAGCAATCGCATACCATTGACAAGATCATGAAATTTCTCGCTGCAGTTTACGGTAACTCGGCTGGAAAGATCTTTGAGGTTGAAAATGGCAATTTTGATTCGAACTACGGTGTGCCCACGCTCTACCAGGGAAACCAGCCTACTCGACCACCCTACAACAACACCGCTCCAATCCTGAAATCTCGTTTGATGTTGATGGATCAAGAGCATTCGGCAACTCCCTCCACCGATGCTAGCTCGACGGCTGGACCCTCTAAGAGACCTTCGGTGGCTGGAAGCAAAGATGGGTCTATCGAGGAGATTGTGAGAAACGACCATATCACGCCTCATGATCCCTCTGCCAATGTCAACAAAATATACCAGCAAATCATGAATCAAGAACCAGGCCTGAATTCACCAAGACAATACTTCCCCGAACTTCAGAGCCCAAGTATCGGGCCTAGTACGCCATCTCAGCAGTTTTCGCGGGTGAATTCCGGTGATCCCAACGGTGATATGTTGCTGGGTCTTGAACAAAACATCTTCAAACAGGGCCAAGCTTTGCTGCAAGTCCAGGACTGGATCCAGGCTTTGGCAAACAGGCAACAGCAACAACAGCATCAATTGCAACAGCAGAAGAGCAACAATCTGCTGCCTGTTGCCAATCCTGACCTCGATGACTTTGATGTCAACGAGTTCCTCAATAGCTCCAACTCCGTTCCTCCGTCGCAAGATCAGCCCGACCCGGCACTTGATGTTGAGGAGGATAACGACAAGAAGCGTCATATCGAGGAGGTTGTTGACAATGAGCCACGTTCTAAACGTACCAGAACACGCAGCAAGCGTTAATCTACTTCATTTACATAGCTATGGGTATAACGGATTTATATAGAGTACGATTCCTTTTAATAAAATCGTCATACACGTTGGGTATTTATCTTCTAGTAAATGCAAATGCAACATCTCCATCATCATCGCTGTCATCGTCAGGTCTCAATGTAAGTGTGGTTGGTTCCCTCGACGTAGTCAGGAATGAAAATGGCATATCTACCCCATCATCTGACTCCTCTCCGACGAATAATTGAGACTCTTGAGGCTGATAGCCCTTAACCTCTTTCATTTCTCGCTCGAACTCACTTGCAAGACGCCCCTTCACTTCAGAATTCCTTTGAGGAGCATAGTCCTCAAAGTGTATGCTATTATCGTGGTCTTCCAAGGAAATGAAAGTTCTCGTGACGTTCTTGGGAACAGATCCTGCTTTCTTGAAGTTCTTAAAGTTTTTGCGACCTTTATAGTCGGGTCTTGCCTCAGCTTTGTCTTTTTTCTTGCGGACAACGAGATCCACTTCTTCAACAATGACTAGCTTGTCGAGCTTTTCATTCACATTCTCATCGAACTCATCAAGCCCAAGCTCCTTCTTCACCACATCATCAGCTTGTTTTTTTGTAGAAAGAACAGCATCCACAAGAGATACTCTAGGAACGATTTTCTCTCGCGGCTTGGCAGTTTCTGCTTTTTGTCGTTTTGCTTCTTGCTCGATGATGGAGTCCAGAGGTCGCTTGTTATTCTCCTCAGAGGCTTCAATGCTTTGTGTGGCAGATTCTGTATCTTCTTCATCGGATTTCACCTCTTGGTCTGACTTCGAAGGCACTGTAGTCTCTGGTGGTTCGGAAGGTGACACTTCTTCCAAATTGTTGGTAGCATGTTCTTCATTGACCAACTGACTTTGCTGAGCTGGAGGAGCAGGATTAACCTCAACGTGGTCTATTACCTCTGGCTCGGAAGCAGGCGTTGACTGCTTTTGGCTGAACAGGAAGAAGTCAGTGTCGCCAACCTTCTCAAGTTTCCGTCTTTTCTTCCGTTGAGACAACCGTAGGTCACCCATTTGGGATTCACGTTTGACAATAGGGGTGAATTGCCGGAGATGTGACGTGGACTTGTTCACCACAGCATTCCAAAGAGTATCAGTGTTGTTCAGGCGTTCCTTCAAGAAGTCCACCTTTTCATCATTCTCAACGTGAAAAACAAAGGGCGCAATTGCATCTCTCAAAGTTGCTTCAACAGTCTCTTGACTCTCAATGCCTAGCATGGTGGGATCGCATCCTAGACATCTGATCCACTCTTGTAGTCTGCCTACCTGTTTAGTGACAGTACCATGGCATATAAAGCAGTTGATACCTGATAGCAAGCTGCTTCTGTTGATATCTGGAAAAACAAAGTCGTTGTCAGATTTGGAGTAGAAATAGTCGTCTTTGATATCCAACAACCAATCATCCACCTTCTGTGGCTCTTCTCTGACAGCCTCTAACCAAGATTCGGAAACAACAGGTAGCGCCCTCAGTAAGGCGATTCGTAGATTGAAGTCGTTTAAGTCAATCAAGGTCAAGTAGTGTGATGCCAGTAGCGGATCTGAAACCAATCTCATATCGGTGCCACTGTCGTATAGACTCCTAATGTTACCAGGTAGAGGTGATTCCATCAACTCATCATCATAAGACATTTTCTTCGAGAAGGCTACCACATTCACGTCACGCCATTGAAGACGAAGCTGTATGCGATCAGATTTGTTGGCATTGACTTTGAGTAGTAGGTCATCTTCAGTAAACTGCTCTGTGATGGGTTCAGCTTCTTTGGAGGGAAGCTTGTAGACCGCTCCGTTAACTGTAGTCGTGCAAATGGATTCAAAGGTTACAGAAAGCGGTGTTTGTGCGGTACTGTGGAGATCTTGGCTTCCTATGTGAATCGTTATGTACTTCTTGGGTACCTTGAGATCACCGATGTGGAGACAGTCTTCCAGAGACTTGTACTCGTTGGCCCTGCCGATCTTTGTGGACAGGTCTCGTCGAAGAGGTTTTGAAAAGACTGCTGTTAGAATTGCATTGTAACCTTCGGATTATGTACATACCTTCTCCGTTGTATATTAGACTGAGTACCCACATAGTGGTGAGTTGACTACATGATGCGCGAACATGGTGATAAAGTACTATTCTATGATACACAGTTATGCCTTGGACCTCGCAAGCTTGCCCATTCTGTTTTCCTTGAGAGCGGTGTTGACAGCGTCTTCGTCGGCCAACTCGAGCAAAGCAGTAGCGAAAGCATCCTCGCTGACCTCGGCCTCGGCTTCCTCAGGAGCCAGCTCGAGAACATCGTCTTCGTTATATATTTTATCGGTGTAGAAGAGGGGCAACACAGGAGACTTGTCGGTTTTGATACCCACAGTCACCAACTCGTCTTGCTCAAACTCTTTGAGAACGGCGTGCAAGTTGTCGAGCAACTCCTCTTGGGTGAAATGCTTATTGAGGGCACCGAGCTTGAAGTGAGCGGTGGTACCCATTGGAGGTAAGTATGGTGCAGATTGCAAAACCTTTTCGATCTGGCTCTGAAGCTTTTCGATCGAGAGTTCCTTTGGCAGGTTTGATTCGTATGGTCTGATTTGAACTGGGAATTTGGTCTTTTGGTTGTCGTACATGATCTTACCCAAAACGTTGGGGAGCGATGACAAGATAGCATCGTCAGTGACGAACAAGTCGAACTCCTTGTACAACTCACGACGCTTTTCGTATGGGTGGTAGATTGTCTTGAGCTGCTTCAACGTGAGAATCTTGCTCAAAGTTGAGATGTTGGCAGCCTCGACCTTCTCCAAATCTTCATTGGTCTGAATAAAGCTGTCTCTAACAAGGAAGCATGTCTTGATGTCGTTCTTGACGTTCAAGTATGGCTTTGGGATGGTGATGAGCTTCGCCTTGAAAGCAGGCTTCTTGCTGAAGTATTTCTTTTTCTGGACCTCCAAGTAGACATTCTTGTCCTCGTCATCTTCATCGTCGTCAAACAATTGGGACTTCTCGGAAGTTTCCTTCTGACGATCCAAGAACTTGGAGAGTTCAGTAAGTGCTGCGGTTGCCTGCTTCTTGGAGACATAGCCGTACTCTTTCACCTCGTCTTTCAGTTGGCTTTTGGTAGCTTTCTTAGGACTTTGGGCAACCTTCTGCTTTTTAGCAGCAGGCTCGCCGCCTTGCTTTTTCGATCTTGTTTTGGCCATTGGTGGTGATGAGATCGTACTCTTCTCATCTCTAAAAAAAATCGCTTTATGCGATGCCTCTGCAGGACAGGAGTGGTCCCAAACCCCATACTCCACCACAAAATATCCGATGTTTTGACCTTTCTAATATATAAATGTGACCGATTTAAAATGCTTTAATTCATTGGTGGCATTGCAGTTTTTGGAAGTGGCGGCGTCCGCTTGGATTTCTGATTACGCACAGAGTCAACCACTATGGCAGGTACGCCGTTATCGATATTTTCGAAAAGCACTTCGGGCTGTTGCTTGATGTCAAGAAGTTCGCCCTCCTCGTCATCACTTTCATCCTCTTGGTAGCGTCTCACATGTGAGCTGTCAAAGCCGCCAAATCTGTCCCAAAGCAAATGCGAAAGCTCGTCTGGGGAATAGATTGCCTTTTCATTTGGACCTTCTTCGACTTTGTGATAATCGTCCCATTCACTCTGTGGAGAAAGCGGAGGCAGAATAAGGAACCTCCGACTGCCCTCTTCCAGCGAAAGCTCTAGAAACTGCGTATCTTCAGCCTTGAGAGTCCAGTTCTCGTCCTCAAGGAGTCGCAGATGATTGTCCTTTAGACTGAAGCCTATGCTAATTCCCTTCTCCAAACTCGACGAAAGGTAGTCTCTCACGTAAATCGCAAGAGCCATGGTTCCACAGATGATGATGTACCTTTCGAACTTGGGGAGCGAGATAAGCTCGACCTGGAGACTTTGAGCAGCGAGCAAGTCCACAAGCACTTGGGGGTCATTCTTTAAAGAGTCAGGAAGCCTTGAGACTATAAGAGTGTTCGTCGGCTTGCGTGGCATGAAGAATATGTGAATGGATTAGTGAGCCAAGTTGGTCTTTGATATTGGACTGCATGATTTGTAGGCGCTAGCATAGCCCTACTGAGTTTGGAGCATGGAAGGGGGACTAAGATGGGGATAGTATGAAATTAGGCGAAACTTTGGAGATTTTTTCTTTTTCTTGAATGTTCGTCTTGTTCTCAAAGATTTTGTTAGTGATGGTGGTCTACGGGATTTTGCAGCCAAACACCGAGGAAGCATAAATTGAGGAATGCTAACTAAGCATGAATGAAGTTTATCACTACAAATGAATGAAACAAAAAAATGTACTATTTACTTTTTAGTGTAAGCTTGCGTGAGCTCGTTCACCACTCATATGATGCCAAATGGAAGGTGGTCGTGCATTCGTAAACCACAGAGGCCGATTTTTCTAAAGTATGTGTTATGCGCCTCGTAGTAGTTTCTGAAAATGATACTGCCGATGTTGGGCCTGCCAAAGTCATCAGCAATGCAGTGTGGATTGGTCCCGGAGAAGCAGTTGACAACCTCGCTATTAGACGGATGTGTTTCGCTTCCAGTAACATTCACATAGATCTGATTTTGGAATTGAGTAAACTCGTCAAGGAAGTTGGAGCTAGTGGAGGGAACCTGCGTCACTAGATCACCCTTGTGGATCACTCTGAGAAACTTGCGATCATACGAACCGTGATTCACCGGTAGGTAGCTTCCGAGGACATAGTCAGCCCAGGTAGTGAAATCGCTATTTCCCACAAGTGGCTGGCCCATGGTCACTAAGGAAAGCTTATCGAACCCGAGATCAAGAAAATGAAGGGCTAGTAGAAGGGCCACTGAACCTCCCATTGAGTGTCCCACGATAACGAGCTCGTAGTCTTCGTTCGAGGCAGAGGAAAGTTCTGTTTTGAGTTTCTTGTGGATAGCTTGGAGGGTGTTTTCGTAGTAAGCAGCAAAGCCCTCATGGATCTTACACTTCTCACCGCAATACGGTAGATGTTTATGAAGGTTGTGGTATGGCACCATGTCCACTCTTATATCAGCAAGGACATCATTAAGCGATCTTGTTCCCCTCAAGGATACCACGATGGTCTTCTTTCTTTTCAGAGAAATGGATGGCTCTTCGTAGTTAAAGATGTCTGAATATGTGGTTGCTATGTATCCGCATACAGCGTCGTCAAAGTACCACTGATGAACCAAAGTCATATTGGGAAATCGTTTGGAACAGTCTAGTGCACAATCAAACGGATCATCGATCTTATGGAACTTGTCTATGCAATAGGATATGTCAATAAGATGTGCATAAGTGAACATATTGCGGTGGATAATGGGATCTATGGGTTGAGGTGTGTTGACATCGGAAGTATCCGGCATTAATGCCGGAGGAAATAGCACTGGGAACCAGCTCCAGGGTATTCTCATAGTGTTGACATGTAGGTAGTTTAGTTTCAAGAAGTCCGAAATGTGGGGTCTAACGGTGATGACCTTCGCGGTTTTTTGGGTTAGATATTGTTTAGAGTACCTTCCACAAGAAACGGAATGCGAGAGCGAGGAGCACACCGATGACGACAGACTCACAAAATTCAAAAAGTTTCTTGAAAGGCTGCTCTTTTGATAAAATTGAATATGTTGTGAGGCTTATCATAGTTAGCGATACCATAATAGGCCAAGGCCACCGAAGTAAGGTAAGAGGGCCAAAGATACTTGACGATTTGAATTCCACAATCATTGATTGGATCTGGCCATGAAGGTCTGAGAAATGACCTTCGAGTTGCAGTTTCAGTGAAACCATGAGACCATCGATTTCTTCGATATTCTGCTTTAGCGCAAGATGTCTATCTTCGATCTGAGATATGGAATCTTCAAAGTGAGAATTCAAAGTGTTCATTGCCTCGTCAATCATTAGCAGCATTCTTGCGCCCTGCAACTCGAAGTACTGCTCCATGTCAAATTCGGTGCCCCTAATGCGATGGTTTAGTTCGGTGGACAACTGCAAGTTAGAATCAAGTAAACCATGAAGACCCAGTTCTCTAGATTCCACATCATTTATCAGATCCTTTAGACTTCTAACTGTGGAAACTATCTCATACATGTCATTGAAAACCGCTTTTTGTAAATCAGCCCACCGCATGGAAACTTCTGCAAACATCTCGGCTTCTTGGTCATGTTGAGCTTGAGCTACTTCAAGCAGAGACGAGGCTTTCTCTGACATTGAATTGAGTTCCGCGTAAGTGCCATTAGCCGTTGTTTCCGCATGTTCTTGTATTTCATCAAATAAGTTGAGCATTCCTTCTTTGAACACAGCTGCGTCGTTCTCCCATTCCTGTCTTTCTCGACTGACTTTTGCAATCATCAGCTTAAATTCTTCAAACATGGTCTCAAAATAAGAATAAACTTCCTTTTGATACTCCTCGACATCTCGAGTTCTCTCATAAGATGCTTCATAAAACGCTGCATAATCCCTCGTGATGTTATTGAAAAGATTCAAAACATGTTCCTTAAAGAACGGCATAGCTTCCTCGTGACAAATGCTTTTAATTTTTCGGTAATTCCCCAGATACGTGGTCCAGAATTGGGAAGTCTTCCTGAGATCTTGGACACATTGATGAAAATCAGTGTCCAGTTGCAACAGTTTACACGAGTCCGGATAATCCACGCCAGCATCCTGAAACTCGCAAATTGAGAGCATAACAGCCAGTCTTTTTCTCAAATTGGGACTAAGACCCTCCACTCCACCTGAGGCACACTCTTCAATGACATCTTCAAGCGCTCTATGAGCACATTGAGACAGAATCACCTCCGTGGTAAGTTGCTCCGGAGTCTCGTATTCCATGAAAATGCCGGCAATAGCAAAATTGAAAAAGAAGAAAAGAACTAACATGTTGCCCTCATATTTTTTGTCCGATCATCTCAACAAGGTACATGTTTGATCCGAGTTTCAAGTAGCCCTCATATAGACCAGTGACAGAAATGACAGAAAAACTATAAAAACGAGAAAGCTTTTTCAGCTCTCACCAATATTGGATTGCTAAATATAGCTTATATCTATTGTCTAGCCCTTGCCAAACGAGACCTCCTCGCGTTTGCAGCCATTCTCCACACAATGAGTTTCACAAAAAGCAAGCACAGTCTCTTCCTAATGAAAGCAGGACAGTATTATTATACTTATTTCATTATCAAAAAATCATGGCAAAATATTATCCGTTCCGAAAACCGTCTTTCTCAATTATGTATCTTCACCGTTGATCCTTCCTCTCGACTAGCATATTTCACCGATGCGCACTAACTTAACGGTTTTCAACATCTCAGCGTTATGACGTCCAGACTCACCGGCTCCAGCCGCCTTCTCAGGCAGTTGGCTAATAAAAAAGAATCGGCGTTCCGTTTCACGCCGAATTTCCAGCTAGGTGATAGGAGACCCGAAGTTCTCGAAGCTATGATACCCGATAGACCAGATGTTTCAGATAGTCCAGTTTTACGAACGGCCGTTGTCAAGCCAGAAGACGTGTGTGATTTGGTGATCCAGCCTTCTTTCAACGACCTCGTTGTTACTGCATTCGCTGAAGGTTGCCACTTTTCTGGAGACCTGGATTACACACTCACTTCAACATCCTCGGTGAAAGGCTCCAAGCTTTGGTATGCCAATATCGCCAGAGAGTGGATGGCTGATTTCGAAGAGCTTCTACCTAACATTAAGGAGCTAAAAGAGGTTACAGTGGAGGAAAGAAAGCTTGCATCTTCGTTTTTGGATGAAGTTTCCAGAGCACTTATAGCGGAAGCGTTTGCCAAAGCGCTGATTCTGTCCTACGCTGATTTACAAGATTTTGTAGCAAGCGTTCTGCAATACACTAGTCTTGAATGCACTGTGGAGTTTCTACTTTCCCAAACTGCTTTCATCTCGGACGTGACTAAGTTTGAACTCGTGGTTGAATATGTCAAACTGAACTTGGGGGCATTGGGCAGACAAAAACTTCCGGAGTTTGTGGACCTCATAATGGCCTTTGCCACCGAGGATAGTGTTCACAGAGTTCCCATTGCAGATTCCCTAATCCGTGAACATATACTCGATTTGCACCCAGAAGTTCTTGTTGAGCTTCCGCCCCACATTGTTAGCCAACTTGCTGACTTTGCAATTGCTAGAGATAGCCTTGACGATGCCAAAGAAATGATGAGCTTTTTGGTAACAGAACACAGAGTGGCACCTGCCAAACACACATTCGAGCTGTTCATGGCCAAATACTGCGTTGATGCCAGACGCAACGACAAGAACAAAGAGCAAGTGTTGAAAGACCTCACGTGCATCAAACCAATCTTGCATTTTTATGGCCTTACCGCCGACTCGTTTGAATTGCTATTGTCCCGGGTCATTGACAATTCATATGATTTGGCACATTTCGTGCGTTTGGCCCAGAAGAACTCGGCCGAGCTTGTCGCCGAATACGCCGAACATATTCTTCTCCGCCTACGCTACATTCACAAAAAGAGCCACAAGAGCGACATCAATAAAGCAGTGGAGACTACACAGTTTATGAGGCTCTTGGTGCATGACAATAAGGTCAAGATCGATGAACGGCTTGCCTCGGTTTTGCGTCTGATTTGCAGCGAGCACAAAATCGCTTACGACGAGCTTAAATTTTCCAACGCATCGACCTAAATAAGTCCGAGAGCCAGAACAATTAATAAAAGCACTTTTGGCGCAGGGTCTCTTATTCTCAGGGTTTTACCGGTTGTGGCTCGCGCGATTATTCGCCAGCCGTGTGGCTCAAGGACAGGATTTTGCAATCGTATTGCGTTATCACAATCAGGAGCTCCTAAGTCCAAGGGCTCCACACCGGTTAATGAAATATATATTGTAGCGTCTTTGCATGTATCTCTACTCGGACCAAAAACAGCAATGGGTAACTACTGGAAAGTCGCCGGTTCTGAAGTGAACGACCAACTCTATGTCAACGACCTCAAGGAGCAATACAGCTCCGGCAAGCTCGCTGATGCTAGTGAGGTTGAAACTGAGATCTCCAAAGTAAAGTACCCTGAGTTTCTCTATAGAACAAAAGCCGAGGAAGCCGGTCTTTACAACAACCATGCCAACCCAGACCATGTCAAGAACGACAAGGGCCATTTGGGCGACCCTACTTTCAAGAATCTTTTCAAGGCTGGCCTGAAGATCGAGAAGTTCGACTTGTCTCCAAACTTGGGTACCGAGATTGACGGAGTTCAGCTCAGTGAATTGGACGATGCTGGAAAGAACGATTTGGCCTTGTACTTGGAGACCAGAGGTCTTGCAGTTTTCAGAAACCAGGATTTCAGAGACAAGGGTCCTGCTTTTGCCAAAAACTTTGGTAAGTACTTTGGTCCTTTGCACATTCATCCTGTTGCTTATTCTGCCAAAGACCACCCAGAGTTGTTTGTTACTTTCAGAAAGGCTGGTGGTCCATCCAGATGGGACCTGCAATTCAAGCACCAGACTGATGGTGTCAGATGGCACTCTGATGTGAGTTTTGAGGAATATCCATCTTCTTTCTCTTTCTTCGTTGCTTTGGAAGCTCCACCTTCTGGTGGTGACACTGTCTTTGTGGACTTGAGAGAAGCTTACAACAGATTGTCTCCACCATTGCAGAAGTTTTTCGAAACTTTGACCGCTGTCCACTCTAATGAGTACCAGCAAAAAGGTGCTGCTCTCAGAAGTCAATTGGCCAAGGTCAAGGAGACTTCTTATTCTGAACATCCTTTGGTGAGAACCCACCCAGTCACCGGACAAAAGAGTTTATTCTTTTCCAGAGGTTTCATCCAGAAGATCAAGGGCGTGAAGGAGTCCGAGTCTGCCTTCATCTTGAACTTTTTGGAGGACCACTGTCTTAACAACCCAGAAATCCAGGTGAGAGCCAACCACAGGGGAACTGATTCCAGATCTGTGATCGCATGGGACAATAGATTCTTGGCTCACACTGCTATTTTGGATTTCCTTAACCACGAAACCACTGCTCGTCACCACTACAGAGTCACTGTTCTTGGTGAGAAGCCTTACTTGGAAGAGAAAAAGGTTGAGGATTCTGACTCCGATGGTGAGGACAAGCACCCAAGAGCCTACTAAAATGTTGTTATAGTTTCTATTATGAATGCCAAATAATGCTAAGTATCCATGCGCCGTAGCTCGATCAGCTCGACGATGTCGTGAGAGTCTATAGAGTGGTTGGTATTGAGTTGACCAATTGTCTGATGTGTAGGTGTTTCGTGAAGAGAACTGGATCTGCGCTGACCTATTTCCTGAATAGGTTGTTGTCCAGGGCCTGAGCTGTAAAAACCGTTTGTGAAGACGTAGAAGCCGTCATCGGATGCTGAGTCATCAACCCAACGGGGCATTGTCCCGTTATTGCGCATATCGTCGTTCTTGCCTCTATACTCCTCATCCAAATGTCTTCGAGAGGAAATTGACCGCTTCATAAAGCATAAAAGGGATGCACTCAACGCCAATAATGCAATCGGTATAACTTGGATCCAGCCCAAGATACTCATCCTCGGTATAAATAGGATTAGGTCAGCAAGGAACGCTAAGAGGGTCAGAAGGAAGGAAAGCGAGCTTAGAAAGAGCATCCATGAGAAGTGCCGAAGCAAGCTCTTTCTAGGTCTCTTTTGGTTTTCGTCAGTAGATTCTTGTTCTGCCCTCTCCGCCTTGATTTTCTTCCTCTGAGCTCGCTGAAAGATTATCCAAACTGGGGAACCAGGGTACTGTTTATCGACGTGCGTGAGAATGACCACATAAATACATTGTAGGGTCAATAATCCGGTTAAAATAAATGCAACAACGTGTACAACCAAAAGTTTGGATATCAGGTGTGTGGCACCAGACGGTAGGGAAACAGTTGAGAAGAAGTTGTCTTGATACTCTTCGCCCTGATCTTGGAAAGCATATTCGTAGCTTTTTGTAGGGTATCCAATAGCAACATGAGAGCACTTTAGCCTCACATGATCACAAATGCCGAAAACACCGTAAGTGATGTTGTTGTACAGCGATAAGTGAAGATTGAAGTTGATCGCTGCACCTGTTATAGGGACAGATATGACCGGTAGTAGCTGCACCACAAAGCAGACGAAGCATAGGCATCCTATGAAAAGAACACCAGTATGCATCGTGGCAGCCCAGTTATTTGTTATTAAAAGGTTATAGTCGAGGTACTATTAGGTTGATTGAGTAGTCTATGGTTAATGAGGATTCTATGCATGATGGTCATGTGTTTTGTATCACGTGCGTTCAGCAGTAACCTTTGATGAAGGACGATAAGAAGCTTTAAGCCCATTTAAATGGTTTAAATGTATGATCCAATATCTTCATTGGATTGGGTGGTGCCTGGAGTGACTTAACAATAATTTATTTTGCATATTTGCGGCCTAATGTCACCACGAGTGCACTTTCTCACCACGGTGAATTCTTAACAAATTTTGGTAAAACTTCAATTTCGAAATAAAAAATGAACAACTTATATTTGCCGCCTATAATTTATCAAGACTATTCTTTATAACAGTCGTAGACGATAACGTCAAGTCCTGCACGGCTGTGTCAAACGCCTCGAGCCCTGCGCTATCTATAATTTCGGCTATTGTTAGATATGCCGAAGAACAAAGTCAAGAAACGCACCAATTCCTCAAAAGGCTGTCTCAGCTGTATAAAGCTCAAGATCAAGGTACGTTATTTGTTTCTTATTTTGGCTTTTTTCTAACTCGAGTGTAACAAATCACGCCTTGAATATGAATATTGTTCCCACACGCAAAGGCGGTGTGTGTACCCTGATGAATTTCAACAGGCACAGCCTGAAATATTGATTTTGGAAGATTCTTTGCTTACATATGCTGTTGCAAGTCAATCGTTAATTTCCGAGTCTTCAACGGCTTTCCACGGTCCCTTTAGCCGCATGTTGCCCTATCCGTCTTGCAGAGATAAGCGACTTCTGCCCTTCGGAGTGAATCTCCTCACCTGTTATCCCGACGTAAGCATTCCTAATGCTCCATTTTACGTGAACGACAGACACATGCATATTTGGACGCAGATCATCCTGTTACATTTCTCTGAATCTCAAGCACTCAAGCTGTGCATCTTAGTTGCGGGCTATCTCTGGATGATATCTTTTACGAAGCTTCATGAGACTCCAAATACATATCTAATGTACCCCAATTGTGAATGCAATGAAGACTGGAAGTTGGAAATGATGAGCGGCTATCTCCTGGATTCCCTATGTCTGACAAGTGCTGCTATTCACCAGCTCCGTAAAGACACCCACGATTGAGGTTAATGCACCTCACTGCTAGGTAGTACCATGACATCCAGTGCTATTTTATACGGTATTGTCGGTCTAGATCCTGGGTCGCTCATACCCCTTGTTCATTGTCAAGGCCCAGGAGATCCCAAAGTCGATTTCTCATCACATTCAATGTAGCTTCGGCTTCTCATCCTTGAGTTCTTCAATCTTCTACACTCGATGTCGGTGACTTGTTTCAGTTAGATGAAATAGGCTCATTCCACTCATCGAATCACCGTAGTAGAGCAAGTATGGGAGGGCTCAACAGTCACTACAAAACGGCCATTTGTCGAAAGCAACTCCACGGTAGCCGAAGAAATTGTAATTCTAAGGGTTTCAATAGTGGCACTCGAGAAAATATGTGCCTTGACCATCAAGTATAACTACCCCGTTCGTCTTTCCCAATGGCTTCTTTTTTGCCGGGTCGAATTTATTGAACTAGTGAGAAAGAAGACCCCATTTGCACTTCGACTACTTTTTATGTATGCCTCCCTCTGTATCAGGTACCGATGCTGTCGAGGACTTATATGTGGACGGCCTTTACGCACGAAGACCACGAAGTATACTCCCCATTACTGGAATTCGGGATGTTCAATACCTCTTCATCAAACGCAATTACACAAAAAATGACTTCACTAGCTAAAAAAAGTTTGATATCTGGTCACCGGAATTTGGTCCGTAGTGAGCCGCATGGATCCCGCTCTGCTGACAAGTTGCGAACATCTGGTGTTATTTCCACAATGAAGCTCTTTACAAATTACATAGTTTTCGATCTTGATGGCACTTTGGTGAACTCCACTGATGCCGTGGAAGCTATATGGAAGGAAACCGTTGACCAGCACAACCTTGAATATCCAGATCAACAGATCGACCTAGCGCAGTTCTTGACCACATCTCATGGTTCCAGAACCGTGGAAACGTTTGAAAAGTGTTTTCCATATAAAGACAAGTCTGTTGAGTTCATCAGGCTGTTTGAATTGTCAATTGCCACAAAGTATGGCCATTTGGCGAAGGAGGTTCCTGGATCAACTGATGCCTTGAACAACCTCAATGCTCAGGCTCCAAAGTCCTGGGCTATCTGCACGTCGGGTACCTACAAACTAGCCCATGGTTGGTTTCCAATTGTGTATAAGGATGTGGCCAAGCCACTGGTCTTCATCACTGCTGATGACGTCAGCCAGGGTAAGCCCAATCCGGAAGGGTACCTCAAGGCTGCGACTACCTTGGCTGAGTTGAATGACAAGAAAGGAAAGACTGTCGTTTTTGAAGACGCCCCTACAGGTATTCGTGCTGGCGTCAACGCTGGTTTTACAGTAATTGGTATTGCTACTACATTTTCCAAAGCGATTTTGGAAGAGGCTGGTGCATCCTTCGTTGTGGAGGATTTCACCAAAGTCCATATGGACTTCACTGATGATGGCATTAACTTAGAATTAAAGACCCTATAGATATATATTAATCATCCTTGATGCCAAGATCCTCGAGCTCCTCGGTGAGTTTCGTTTGACGTGCCTTTTTGAGGTCATTGTCCCTCTTCTTCTCTGTACGCGAGAACCTCTCAGCGTCAGTCAATGCATTTTGGCCATAGGTGTCACCGCCCAAGATGAGCTCATCATTGCCACCATACTTATCTGTGTATTTCGTGGCGGGCTCCTTGAGTACGCTTCTGATCTCAGGATTGTGGACAAGTTGGTCATGGAGACCGAAGCCGAAACACCATTTGAGGTGTAGAAGACGGAAGTACAAGAACCAACTGTTGATTGGAAGAGTCTTCGAGCGAGACAATTTGATGGTGGTTGTGCTCACACCCTCTTGCAGCAACTCAATGCCCTTGAGAGATTTCTTGTAAATCGCTTCCCTGGTTTCGGGATTCGTGTAATGCTGTATCGTGTTGGACAACTGACTGAAGACAGTAGCAGTTTCCCTCTTCTCCTTCTTTCCAACCTTCTTGGCGGTCATACCTGCAAGCCTGCTGCAGATTGCAAGCAAGGCCTCCTGCTCGTAATATGGCGCATTGTAATTGAACTCATCGTCGGCGTCATCATCGTCCTCGCCTCCTTCTTCGTAAGTGTAGAGCTCGTAGCAAAGAGCAAGTGCCCTGCCTCCAGCCTTGGCAATGTCAATGTTGTGATCGTTGTCGATTATCTCAACAAACTCTGTGGCAAGGGTGGTGAGAAGCTCGTTGAGGTACTCGCCCCTTGGAAGGAGGGTCAAGAGACCGGCGACACCGTGGATAGCGGCAATAGCAATATTGGCCTCTGCCTGGAGGTTCGCCTCCTGCTCACTTACCAAACGCTTGTCTTCACTTTCGTCCATCAACGTAGAGTATTCACGATCACCAGTCTTAAGCTCGTTAGAGAGTGTGACACTGCTTTGGACATAACCCTGGGCGAGCTCCATAAGCCACTTCACCTTGTCATCAACACCAAAAGCGGAATTGTCAGAATACAAGACTATGAGAAGAGCACAATAGCCGCTAATGACACCTGCCTTGTTCTCCTCGTTGACACAAGCATTGGGTGGCTCCGAAATGAGAGTTTCTAACTTCGCGTGGAAGTCAACGCTGACAATCTCGCCAAAGTCCTCCAAATCACTGGCAAGTAAGCCAATGATGGAACGGAATAAGAGAATAAACTCCGATGATGATCTGTACTCCTTCAAGTTGAGAAGCTTCACGAGTTCCAGGACTTTCTCTTCGGAGACATAGTCCGGGGACCCTGCGTTTTCTTCATTGAAAACCACCAATGGCTTAATTACCACAAGCTTATAGAGTTGGGCCAAGAGCATTTCTCTTGACAGCGAGGAAACCTCGGAACGGGCCCTGCCAAGTGAGTCGATGATCTCGTTGACTGTGGTCGACTCCGATTGAATTCTCATCTTATTCATAGCGCTGACATGCTTTTCTCTGTGGTCCTGGGCATTGGCGACCATTGAATCTCTATTGTCAGCATCATCGAGCTCATTTTGAAGAATAATCGCTTGTAAGGACTCCAATTTTCTCGAGAGCAATTCTTCAATGCCATGGAAGTTCACATCCAAAGCACCATTTTCCTCGCCATCTGGATTTGGGGTACGCACTCTGGAAGATGACCGAGAAGAAGCATTGGATGCTCCATCTCTTTGCAGAAATCTTGCTGCTAATCCGGTGGGTCTTGACATAGTAGCTTGATAAGCAAGAAAGCGTATTGGAGGAATGTCTCACATTTATGTGCAAGGTAGTCATGCTGGTGGTGCACGGGTGCTCATCTGCATTAAACAGGCCATTTCGAGATAGAATAAAGATATGGGGTGCATGGAATAGCCCAGTCACCCTAAGTAATATTCAATTTGGAAATAACAAGATTCGTTATGACAGCCACATGGCCCATATTGTCATGCATTTTAAAAAACAACTTCGGCTGGAAGGACGTAATGCTTCTCTCCGTTCTCCCGAACAGTCTCTCTGTTTACGTCTCTCGGAAGAGCCTTTCTCATGTCAAAGCCGTCGAGCTCGTCATCGGTGTGATTTCTATCAGTTGGGTAGTTCTGGCCATAATAGCCAATGACTCGTCTGTAAACAGAGTAGCCCAACTTCTCGTACAATTGCCTAGCCACGCTATTGGTTACTTTCACGAAAAGGTCAACAAAGAGTGTTTCGTAAGGCTGCACTGCCGTTATTCTTTCCAAGTGCAAACAAAGGTCAGAGGCAAGTCCTAGTCTTCTATAGTCTCTGCTTATGGTAACTGCAGTGATGTGTGTGTGCCACTCCTTCTTGGCAAGTTGACCTTCAGTCTTTCCCATCATGTATCCGCTAATCTTTGGAGCAAATTCAGGAGCCTCTTCCACAGACTTGAAAAAGAGGTCAGGCCACTGAGTAGCGTATTGGAAGTAGAACAGTAGATTGAAGTTCTCGGTGAAAGGATCTAGATTGACTGGATTCAAGTCGAACAAGTCGTTCATCTCAAATGGTTTGATGGATGTCATTTTACTTGACTCTTTATTTCAATAACACTACTAGCCGGATCCTGAGGTAACTCGATCCTATGTACTTTGGTCACGTGCATTTTCCGCTATCTGAGAAATTTTCGTCTTCTCGGTAATCGTCATACACACTGTCTGCCGGGTCACAACGGCGAAAAACAGAAACTATAGAAACTCTTTTTCTCCAACCCCACACCACTAAAACACAACAAAAAAAATGTACGGAGGTCCAGGTGCTGAAATTCCAGAAGAGCAGAAGCAGTTGCAAGAGGAGATGTCCTATGCCACTTTGAAAACCGCTGGTGTTGTTGCTGGCGCCTTGTGGTTGACTCCAATTGTGTTGCACTTCATCAAGAAGCAGTTTTGAGTTGCTTATCCCATTTTCGCCTTCATAGCCCTCATTGTACATACTTTATCAATACAACATGTATATCGTTGACCACGTTCCAAGTTACTCGTCTACTTCTAACTCGTGCAAGTCCTCTCTGAGCTTGTTGATCTTCCCAGCAAGGTTCATGAACTCGAATCTCTCGGCAATCCTCGAGGCCGCAAGCAAGGCCTTGTCGTTCTTGACAAGCTTGACAACGCTGAGTGCTTTGTTGAGCCTCAGGTCCTGGCATGCGTTGGCAAAGAGTTTGAGCAACGATTTGTCAAAGGCCACACTGTATCCATTCAACCTCTCAAGCAGCTCCTCCTGGTCATCAAGATCTGGAAGTGTCAGGTTAAGAAGTTTACCAAGCGTCGAAGCTCTCAAGAATTCTTCTTCTGGATCAACCTCGTTCAACTTCTCCATCTTTGAGGCATGGTCGTCTCTCTCATCATCGATGTCAGCATCCTCGCCACTCTTCTTCAGTTTGAGATATTTGAAGCACTTAACTGGTAACTTCACCTCTAATTCGAGAGGCAAGGGGAGTGGGAAGCCAGGGTATGCATCGTTGTTCTTCAAAATTAAGCAGACAAACTTGTCTTCTGCAAGACCAAGAGGCCATGCTTTCCAGTTCTTTTTGGATTCAGTGATACCGTAGTCAGACACAACTTCACTGCAACTGAGGATTGGGATCCATCTAGCATTGCCAGGCTCTCTCCAATGTGACAATACCGTTAATGTATCATCAAAGCCTGCCACAATGCACGGATCGCTGAACTCGTTGAAAAAGATGCCTTTGATTAATGGTGCATTTGGCAGGTTCTTCAACACTATTGGAGCACCTTGTTGCAAGAACTTGTAGTCTTCACTAACATCTACTATGGAGTAGTTGAAGTTATCTTGCGAAGATTGATGAATCACAAAGATGGTGGAAATCTGGGACGAGATAAGCGTCACAATAGGTGACACCTTCATGAGGTTGATGCAAAGGCCATAAAGATTGAAGAATCTCAAGTAGCCAAGATTGGTTCCGACTGCAATCAATGAGTCACCGGAGCTTGTCAGAGTGGAACTGGTGAGGCAGAGTGATGTGATGTATTCATTCTTGAGTAAAGGAATGCGTCTTTCCCAAGAGTCATTAGTAGAAGTGTGGTGTCTGTAATAGATGTGACCACTGTGTTCGTCTTCTCCCGCCTTGTGTCCAGAATTTCCAAGCAAAATTCCTCTTTCATTCACCGAGCATAAGTCGTAGTTGAAGTAGTCGATGAAATGATAGTCCTTGTTGCTCGTTCTGTCGAAAAAAGAAATAGTTATACTTTGTTGGCCATCTCTTGTCTCAGGGCTATCGCTCTTGACTGCCCAAACATATCCCACAGAATTCATAAATAAGTAACGTCTTTTGGTTGTGTAATTGTTGGTTGAGATCCATGGGGTGGATCCGGGAGTGTAGGGCTTAATTTCAAGATCCACAGGTTTCGTTGGAGGAGGAGTTGCATGCTTAGTGCCATTCAGGAACCTCTGCCTTTTGCGTCTCTGATGTGTGTAATCATCGACGCTCTTATTGTAAAGGTCCTCTTCCTCTTCCTCATCATCCTCATCTTCGTCAATAATTCTTGAATCATCAAGACCATTGGCTCTTCTCTTCTCCGGAACATTGCCATTGACTTGTGGGACTTCCGATTCAGACTCACTGGCTTCGTCCAAGAATAAAGAGTCCACCTCAGATCTGGTCCGTGTAGGTTCTTCGTCGGGAATCAGAGGAGTGACTGAGAGGGACCACAACTCACCGTTTGTTGTCCCCACAAATGCCGTTCTAGCATTCCAAGCCAAATTCAAAGGTAAGCAGTCGAGTTCACCCAACTTGTAGGTTTCGAGTAAATCACCAATATCAGTGTCAAAGAGTAGAAGCGATCCGTTTTTGTGGAGTGTGAGGAGAAACTTGTGGTTGGGTGAGACGGTGTACGCAATGAGATCATTCTGGGAGTGCTTAAACTCCCTCTTTTGCAGCAAGTCAGACCTATTGAAGCTCTTGATTGTATTTTCTTTGCTAGGAACAAAAAGATATTCGCCGTTGACTAGCCAGTGGGGTTTAGTAGGCACAATT